ATGGCAGCAGCTACGGGGGATCCTGGACTCTTTAAATTGCAGTTTGCCCCCTTTAGCAGTGCCTTGGATGTTGGATTTTGGCATGAGTTGACCCAGAAGAAGCTGAATGAGTATCGGCTGGATGAAGCTCCCAAGGACATTAAGGGTTATTACTTCAATGGTAGGCAATATTAAACTCCATCTTCCATTCTTCTGTTATATTCTCTGTCCACCAGTATAGGGTCAGCTGTCTTTTAGCAAGGATACTTTTGTCTTTTACAGCTAATGGTCTTTACCAGTTTCTATTTTATTTTCTGACTTTTGACCCAAGTTTATTTTTACCTCTTTTTTTCCTATTGTGGGAAAAGGAAAGGGTGCTGTAAAACCCCAGCTATTAATCCAAAGAATTAATACTGATTACTTACTATTGCTGGGGGAGAAGATTGGAAATATTTTTTCCCAATTAATTTTTTTTCTATATCCTTAGAAAACTTCTCAAATTCACAAAAGCTCTGTCATTTTAAGCTAAGCCTCTGTTTAGTTTGGATAACCACAAATTTGATGGGGCACTTTGGGCTCAACAAAGAGAACAAAATTACACACAAATATTTTTGTTTTGAATGCTGCTTTTAATGACTTACGATTAAAAATGTGATAATGCTTCTGTGTAGGTGATTCTGCCGGGCTTCCAGCTCGTTTAACATTGGAGTTCAGTGCTTTTGACATGTGAGTATTTTTTGTTCCAAATCTATATTGAAGAACACTATTTGCCTTTTTCAAGAAATGCGTACTCTTAACCTCTCTTATAGGTGGACCACAGGGAAACTTAGGTAGCTCCTCGTGAACAGAGCCAGTTCCTCATTATTCTCTTTACCTCTCATAACAGAGAGATAAATGCTAGATGCTTACGACTACCTCATTTATTTTTTCAGCAGGTGTTTACCAGAGCCTATTTGGTGCCAAGTACCATGTAGATTGATTGAGACTTAGATAACATTCCTCCTGATTTTGATTATATTTTATGATTCTTTATTGTATCTCTAGATTTATTCCTTTAGTTGCTTATCCATGAGCATCACTGAATGTTTATTAGGCTACTTCTGTATAGAAGCTACTATTTACTTAGAAATATGACATATACCCTCAAAGAGTTTTTTGTCTGGTTGGAGGCCATGGGGAGTTGCTGAAGAAAAGAGAGGCATTCATTGATTTAAATATTAATAGGTAGGCATTTTCACATACATAAATAATCTTTTCAGACCTGCCAGGTGTAGTTTCTCTCTGTCAGATGAGGGAACTATGGGTCAAAAGGTAAAATGGCTTGTGGAAGGTCACATGTGGCCTAATTTAGGAAGCACTCATGAGAGAAAGGTAAAGTATATTTCTGAGATTGCATTGAGTAGCCAGGGGCATTTTATTATCATCTACAGAAATAGAGAAACCAGAAGGGAGCTAAAATTTTAGGAGGAGGTAAGTTGGTTTTAGAACATGTTGAGATAACAGCATCCATAGAAATGTCTGGAGGCACTGGAGTCAAGCAGGGTTGGTCAGACTGGGTTGGAGAGCCTTGCATGAAGAAAAGATCATGAGGCTGTCAGAGAGGAAGATACTCTCCTGTAAGAAGAACAAAGGGCCAGGACATACCTGATTAGGGAGGACAAGAAGACACAGAACTACCAAATGAAACGGGAGTTGTCAGAGAGGAGAAAGAACCAAAAGAAAGTTAGAGAAACCTAAGAAGGAAATATTTCAGGAAGGAAAGAGATGGTCTACAATGCCAGAAGCAGAAAGGTCTGAATTCAATGCAAGGGTCACTGGATTTGATTATGTCTTTTGTGGTCCTTGAGAACTGTTTTTCAAACTGTATTCTGCACAAAAGAGTGGAACAGGATCCTTATTGGGAGCCTATAAAACAATTGAGAATTAAAGGCTTACAGCAAGCATGTCAGACTCGTGGCTCACAGGCTGCATATGGCCCACAGTGAATATTTTTGCAGCTGGGGCAATTTAACGGTATGTAAGAAATGTTTTAATAAATTTTTTGTAACTTAATTTTTACAATATCCTGTTATACATTATATTTATATATAAAAGCCTAAGCAGCCGTCTGACCGGTAGCTATGATGCGCATGACCACCAGGGGGAAGACATTCAACACAGGAGGTGCCAAGTGACAGCAACTGTGCAGAGTGCCCTCTTGCACTCCAGGACCCTTCTGGGGATGTCAGACTGCTGGTTTCAGTCCTATCCCCGCAGGCCAGGCCAAGGGACCCCACCTGTCAGAGGGAACCCTGCTCACTCTGCAGATGCCCTTTGAGTTCCAGTGCTGCCCCAGTTGCAGCCGGTGGGGGAGGGACCACGAGAGGTTGGCTCCAGAGCATGTCAGGCCGTCTTGCCCAGTCCCGCCCTGCTGGCCACCTTCTAATTTCCTTTCAATGTGCACAAATCCATACACCGGGCCTCTAGTTATTAAAAACAAACTACAATGTTTGCTAATGACTGGCTACTATAATCATGTTGCATTCATTTCCCTTGCACACCTTATGTGTAGGCGCATCATTTCCACTAATACTAGCAGCGAATATTTTAGCACTTGATTGCCACATCACTAGTCTTGTACTAGTGCACAACAGGAAATATTTCTCTTTTGGAGAATAAGAAAAATTGGTTTATTTGCATTACACTTATTAATTTGTGCAGTTACTGAGTGTCTGGTAAGTTAATGTTCAAGAAAAAATATTAAATTTTATTAAAATTTTCTATTATTTTATGTTAATGATTACTCATTTATTTCAGCCCTTTATATTCGGCGTTTCTCTATCGAAATAAGTCTACATTTTTATGAAAATTGAAGCTTTTGTTTTTTTGCAGCCCACATAAACTTAAATCTTGATTATTTGGCCCATGTTAACCTTTGAGTTTGACATGCCTGACTTACAGGCTTCAGTGAGGTCCACGTTTTCTACTTTCTTGTACTTTAGCAGTGTCAAGATGAGGGGTTTGGGGAAGAGAAGAGATCTTTGTAAGGACTGCCTGGTTTTTTAAAATGACAGTAGTCAAAGGTTAGGCTATATCAAATAAAGTAACCCTAGAATTAAAAAAAAGTTTCTATTGATTTTAGAAAGAGAGAGAGAAAGAGAGAGGGGCGGGGGGATGGTGAGGGAGAGAGAGAAATATTAACAAGAGAGAAACAATCAAGCGGCTGCCTCCTGTGTGCCCCCTACTGGGGATTGAGCCTGTAACACAGGTATGTGCCATGGCCTGGAATGGAACCAGCAACTTTTCATGGTATAGGATGGATGATGCCTAACCACTTGAGCCACATTGGCCAGGCTCATAGAATTTTTTTTTTTAATCTCTCCAAAATTCAACACATTTTCTTCCTTTATCTCAGTCAAATTATAAAATTAAATTCTGTAACATAAATGCAAGACAATGTTAATCTTTATATCTTTAAAATCTAAGGGTTGGTCAATAATAAATTCCTGTGATTACTTGTCAAAACCAATTAGATCCTAGTAATCGCTTCTCTGTTTTGGCAAAAACTAACTTAATTTTGGAGCAATTGCAAGATAATGAGGAAAGAACTGACAGTGTACAAGCAGTAAATTATCTGAAGATGGTAAAGTGGGGACTATCAATAGTGTAGTTTTAATATAATCTAGAGAGTCTAACATTCATTGCCTCTCTCCTATCCTTATTCTGATACTAGAATGAAAATTATTTTTAAAAAGATATTAATAATTTCCTTCTTTGGAACAATTATAGAAAAAGCAGTTCACCGAAGTTTGTAGTAAGCTTAATCTTACTACAAAATCCAAGCATCTTAAACTTGAGTGATCCAGAAGTTTTAGTTGAAGGAGTTAAGAAAATTTGTGATCTCACAGTTATGACTTTCACACAAATTGCTTGTTTTTTTTCCTGGTCATATTTGTTCATTTAGCTAACGAATACTCACAATATGTGAGGCTCCCAGGTAGGCAGTGGGGGAGAGGAACAAGAATAAAACATAGTCCCTAGTGTTATGAAAATAGCTCTGGATTTGAAGGCTATCTACAGCCAATGAACCAAGTTACCTAGAGTAAGTCCTTTTAGTTTCTTAGCTTCAGTTTCCTCATTTCTAACTCTCAGCTTCTAGTGTTTCTTCTAGTTCTAAAAGTGCATGATTTTCTGAGTCCCTCTTTCTTAGGATGGTTGGTGTTATGGTCTGAATGTTTGTGTGCCTCCAAATTCATATGTTGAAAACCCAATGCCAAAGGTTATAGTTTTAAGTGGTGGGGCCTTTTGGAAGTGTTAGGTCATGAGGGCAGAGCTCTTATGGATGGGATCACTGCCCTTATAAGAGTCCCCAGAGGTGTAGCTTGCTCCTTCTGCCATGTGAAGACAGAGAGAGGAGTGGGCAGTGACCAGAAGAGGGCCTCACCAGAACCCAAGCATGCTGGCACCTTGATCTTAGGCTTCCAGCCTCCAGAACCCTGAGAAATATATTTGTGTTGTTTATAAGCTACCTTTGCTGCAATATTTTGTTATAGCAGCCCAAACAGACTAAGACAGTTTGGAAGTTTAATGAATGCACTTGGAGCTCCTTATTATTGTACTTTATTTTTATTACTGCACCCCTGCATGGGTTTGTAGGAAAATCTTTATGAATTTATTCATCAAACACTGAATGCCTCTTATATGCAGGATGTGTAGGTGTTCAGAATACAAAGAATTATGAAACACGGGGCTCTGGAGGGGCCCTGGATAAAGGTAGAAGATAAATATTTGCATTATAGTGTAATAAATATGGAGAGGTAATAATTATTTCAGAAATACTTATTGTTTCCTCTGTATCTTGATAATAGAATGTGCTAGGTACTGGGCATACATAGAGGCATAAGATACAGCTGAAGAGCAAACAGTCCTAGTTCTCACAACTGCCATGAATATTTTAGTTTTGCATTAGCACCAGATAAATCCCCTCTACTCTGAGTCCCTGGAAGCCTCTTGGATCTCTGCCAGAATTAGCAACACTGGATTCTGCTCTCTAAATTGTATTAGGTAAATGATCACTTGATAGTCCACTTTGTAGTCCAGGGAAGCGTATTCTGCTCTTCTTTCCTCTTAAGGCTTCATCTGGGGGAGGGGGCTTGCCTTTGTGTGCTGCTTAAGATGGGGTCGTCACTTTCAGGTAATAGTATGTAGAAAGGGAAGGACCAGGGTGAAAACAGGTAGAGGAAACATTCCCAGTCTCTTAAAGGTCCTAGCCAGGTGATTCTGCTGGGGAGAGTGCAATGCCTCAATTATCTTGCAAGGTAGTCTGGGATATGTGGTGCCCAGCTACCAGCATCTTATATGTATTCTGTTTCTGTTTAAGAAGAGAATAGATTTTGGTGGACAATTTTTGTATAAGCATGAAACTTTTTTTTTTTTTTTTTTAGTTTTTCTTTCCCTGGGCCTCTTTCCCTTGAGGAGCATTTATCTTTTTTAGACATAACTATTTTTCTTTGCTAAGCTTTAAGATGGACTCAATTAGAGAAAAGGGGAGCCCTCAAATAACTTAAAAAGTAGTTAAGGAAAGAAGACTCATGCAAAATTATCTATGTGGGCCTCAGGCTGTCCCTTATTCTCTATCTTACTACTACCTATTATAGATCTGGATATGTGCTAGTTACTCAAATAATAGTTGCATTTAGTTAGAAGCAGTCTAAGTGCATGGCTGTCAAAATGGCATAAGATGTGGTTGATGAAAAGATACTAATCTACTCTGTTAGAGAATGTTATCATCAGAAACTCAGATTATTTTGGAAAGCAGGAGATAATGCAGCATGCTCCCAGACTGAGTGTGCCTTCCCAGAGTTCCCTTTGGCCGTGCAAAACTGTGGAGTAAGGTTCCTACAAGTGTGAAAAGTGACCTCCGCCCTTCTGGGGGATTTATTCCATCCTGACCACCTCCACTGCCTGTCTGTTCCGGAGACTCTGGCCACGTGCCTGGTTTGGCCAAGTATAATATCAGGTGCAAAACAATCTCTACTTTCTTGAGTAAATCACGGGGAGATTGAATGAAGTGAAAGACAAAATTTCAGAGATAACAGGCCTGGGCTCAGGCCTTTATGAGATCCAGTCTTTAAGGTTATGTACACATTGAGTTCACTGTTGGCTGTAGGGAAGATTTCTAATTCTGTTTTTGTAAACAGCTTTATTGAGGTATAATTTATATACCATAAAATTCACCATTTAAAAATGTACAATTCAGTGGCTTTTAGTATATTCACCAGGTTGTGCAAACTACCACCACTATCTAATTCCAGGACGTTTTCATCACCCTCCAAAAGAAACCCCTGTACTCATTAGCAATCTCTCTCTATTCCTATCTTCTCTCTCCCTCCAGCCCTAGACAATCTCACATCTACTTTCTGTCTCCATAGATTTGCCTATTCTGGACATTTCCTGTAAATATAGGAAACTAAACAAGTGTTCAGGACTAGAATTTGAACTAAAGTCTCTTATTTTCAAGTCTAGGGCTCTTTCCAGTTCTCATCTGAGCCACCTCTTTGTGGAACAAACGGAACTTGAATCTTGAAAAACTAGAAGAATGGTTTTCTTTCCCAAGATGACTTTTTATATTTGTTTCCCGGGTCACTTCCCCTGCTAGAACTTTAATCACAAAAAAAATGCTTCTTCGTTGAAAGGTCCTCTGGTTCTCACTCACTAATTGCATGAGCACTGATGTTCTAGGAGCATAGCTGTCCTGGCTGTTGCTTGAATTCTCATGATGTGGTTTCTTCCACTCTCAGAGCAAGGCTTGGGCATGGCTTTCCCACACCCGGGACATTCGGACATTTCGGAAAGAGAGAATCTTCCTCCTCTTGTGCTTGTATCTAAATTAGATCTTATCCTCTTCCTTCTGTTTCAGCAGTGTTTTCTTCAGCCCAACGTAGGTCTAGCTTTTCAATTTCTCCATTTCTCCTTTTCCCCTCTTGGCTTAATCTCACCTCTTCATGATATCATTTTCTCATCAGGACTATTTTTTTGATGGCCTCATTTTACCTGGATTAAAAATATTCTTATGTTGGGGCAGACGGGTGACAAACAGTCTGTGATTGCTAACTTATCAGATCCCCAAGGAAGGCTCTGGACATTGAAAACTGCTTCACCCCAGGGCTTGGTGTCTGAGCCTTACAGACTGCTTTTGGGAGACTCTTTGTCACTCATTGCACCCCTTCACACCTGTTCTAGGCTTAGATCTCTTCTTGCAGCTCCTCTGAACCCAATTTTATTCAGAATTAGAATGAAGAGACACCAGTCTTTTAAATACAGCTACCATCAGTGCAATAAATATCAATGCGATTTTCTATTCTGCAGTAGTTGTTAAGTGACAACAGTATTAGGCTGCTGAGATGATATTTTTATTTAGCATCATCTGTAACCACTAAACCACAAGTTAATCATTTTAGAGAAGAGAGCAGATTTCTCCACATCTAAGTTTGTGTTCAGAATCAACTCATCTTTCCCTCTCTTGGCTTTGATTATTTTGAAGACTGTGAAGCCTTCCTGGGCACTGTGATGGATTGGCAGGTGGCCCAGGTGTAACACATTTTGTCTATGTGACTCAGACAGCCACCAGGGGTTTGCTCAGGGGTTTGCAGCTCTGTTCAGAGCCTGTTTGGGCTGGGCTTGGCTGTGGGACAGTCAGAAGAGAGAGACATGTTCCTGGCCCTTAAGGAGCTTCCTGTCCTCCGACTGGCGGGATATGACTGTTTGTCTTGAAAACACTCTAAAATATTATGCTTTATTTTATATATAAACCATTATCAGAGACAATGGGCGGGAGATGGCTTCCTGGAAGAGGAAGGTTTGGAATGGGGCCCTGAACCCTGGGAAGGCTTGAGTGAGGAATGGGCAGCACAGCATCTTGGAGTTAACTAGTTCTGACTTTAGATTCTAGCTCTACCTATTCTTATATGACCTTAGGCAAGTTATTTAAACATGTTATGAGAATTCAAGCCTTATACAGCTCTTGGCAGAGTAGAAGTTTAATAAATAATGTTTCCCTTTCAGGTTAACGGTGGAGAAAAAAATAAAAAATAGAGAAAGAACTTACATTTGGGGGGTAGTGGAAGAACAGCATGCTGAGAGTTTAGGATAAGGGGAATATAGAAGCTTTTGAGAGATTCAATGCCTGTTTTTATTTTTTAAGCAATATTTTCATCTTTTTCCAAAGCACTGTACAGTCTTCTATTTGTTCCTCCAGAGTACTGTCCTCTGTCTCTCACTGATGAGCTGGTGTGTTTGTCATTCCCTGGCTCTCTGAGTCCCAGCTGTGCCTGTTAACCATGTTTCTGTTGTATCCAGGAATGCTCCCACCCCAGCCCATTGCTGCCCAGCTGTTGGAACACTGTATAACACCAACACACTCGAGGCTTTCAAGGCTGCAGATAAGAAGCTACTTTTGGAGCAAGCAGCAAATGAGGTTAGCTGGGAAAACATGATGTAGTCGTTGTATTCTCTGTGGTCCTGCAGGCATGTTGTTTCTGATCAAATGCAGGGATCTGTCATAAAACTAGTATAAAGTTGATACTCAATGATAGTTGGCTTCTGTGTTGGTGGGAAGGTCAGAGAGAAGACGCTGAGGCTAGGCTCTCACCTCGGTGAGGCCAGAATGCAGGGCAGTGTATGAAAAGCTTTGTTGCTGACCACCCATTATAACATTCTGAAACAGCTTGCCCTCTGTCTGAGTTCTGTTTTTATGTCTGAATGCCTTTGGGTTCTTTGTGCCCCTTGTCAGAGGCTTTTCAATTGTAAGCACTGGTGTGCTGTTGGAACTGATAGTGTAGTCTCTCTAGTATCCTCAGGGCTAAATCTAAACCATTCCGTGTGATTTACATGGCCCCTCGTGTCCTGGCCTCTGTGGCCTTTCTGTCCTGTCACTCGTGCCCCTGCCTTCTCTAACCCGGTCACAGTAAATCACTTCTCATTCCTTCCTTCACCTGCTTTTTGTCCTCCTCTTTTCTCAGGACACGATGCTCTCTCTGCCTGGAATGTCTTTCCTTTACTTCTTCATATCTGAGTTACTCTGAAGAACTAAAATGGGGGAACAATTTATTTAAATGCCCTCTAACTCACTTAATCGAATAGTCTTCACACTAATCCAAAAAAAATAAATAAATAATAGGGTCTTGCCCTGGCTGGTATGGCTCAATTTGAGTGTCATCCTGTGCACCGAAAGGTTTGATTCCTAGTCAGGGCACATACCCAGTTGCTAGTTTGATCTCTAGTCCAGGTACATTCAGGAGACAACTGATCAATGTTTTTCTCTCACATCTGTGTTTCTCTCTCTATCTCTCTCTCTCTCTATCTCTCTATCTCTCTCTCTTCTCTCCCCCTACCTTCTCTTTCTAAAAATATAAATAAAAATATAGTTAAAAGCAAACAAACAATAATAAAAAGAGTCTTTTAATGTGAGTGCATGCCATGGTCAGAGAAGGAAGTTTCCTGCCTTTTGCCTTGAAGAAGGTGTCCCTTCTGTCCCTCGTGATGAATGCACGTGATGATGGTTGTTCTTGGCCTGCAGCTTGGCTGATTCTGGCTTCTGCTTTGGCTGCACATTCAAAAGGCTGGCTCCAAAGTTGGGTCATGGAATAAGCAGGTTGCTCCCCACAAGAATTCTCACTCCTTGTCCAGGGCTTGGACTTTCCCCACAAGTCCTCCCACTTGGCTGATCAGAAGCTTGGATCTGCTCTGCAGCAGTCCTGCTCCTCTGCGGTTATTATTTCAGTAGCAGGAACTTCTCTCTGCTTAATTCCCTCTTCTACCCATATGTAGGGAATGGTTCTTATTGGCACATGAGAACCGTTTATTTGTCTTGCATAGTGACACAATGTTTAGCAACTAATCTTGGCTACTAAAACATCTTGTGACAAGCAACTGCTGACCAGTACCAGCTTCTGCTTCTAGTCACAGAACTTGCTGAGTATTCATAAATTTGAAGTTCATTCTCTTTTCTTCATATCTCAGGGTGAAATAATCTGAAGTAAGACTTTAAGAAATCCCCTTTACATAGTTCAAATCATTGCCTCCCAGAAGTCCTTTCTGGTTCTTTTCCCTCCCATCTCTCAGCCCAGTTTGGGGGTCCTCTCAGGAATTCTATATCCTTCTGGGTTGCACATCCTACCTGGTGGTATACTTGGACATTTATGCCTGAATCTCTCACTAGACTGTAAGCTTCCTGTGGGTATGGACTGTGACTTTTTTATTTATTTTTATAACCCTGATGTGCCCGGTATATACTAGGAAACAAGTAAATATTTGTTGAAGGAAATAACAGGCATGCTGAGATCCACCGAGAGGAGGCCTCTGGGTTCTCTCCCTTTCAGCAGCCTGTTACAAGAGTGGCTGGCGGAGAGAAGTGGGCAGTGGGCAGAGTGAGGTAACGGCCCATTTCACTGCCTGGGAAAAGTGGTGCTGGGCCTGTGGGAAAGAAGGGTTCGGGGCTGTAGAGTTCGGTGTTTCACTTGAGAGTGAAAAGCTCAGAGATGCTGATAACTTACTTTGACACTTTTTTTTCTTGTGGCAGATATGGGAATCCATAAAATCAGGTGCTGCTCTCAGAAACCCTGTCCTCCTCAACAAATTCCTCCTTTTGACATTTGCAGTAAGTAAATGGACTCTGGGTAACGGGACATGCTCAAATGCCCTGGCCAAGCCCATTGTGCCAAAGAACAGTGTGCTCTCTTCTCCCAAAGCCTTTACCTTGTGTCATTCAAGTTTTAGCCGTTAAATAAATCTACATTTGGTTAGTGGCCAATATTGCTGGCCCTTACTACCAATGCAAAATTAATTCATTCTTACTGATCATACTTATATAATCATACATATTACTGGTAATAATTTTATGGCTTATATAGCGCAGTCATCAAACTCTTATCATTCAGGACACAATAAAGTCAGATTCAGGGAGCAGTGGTTGTTGCTTATGTCTTTATTAAATACAGTCCTGCAGAGCTTGGTTGCTTTGTTCATTGATATAAGGAAAAGGTAATCTTTCAAGGACCCTGGCCATCTTCAAGCTGTTTTAGAGTAGAGATGACACTACCTTGCTTGTCCACACAGTTATGTTTTGTTAAGAAGGAAAAATGTTTCATATAAGTGATATCTAATTAAAATGAACATTGAGGTCAGCTTTGAAGAGGAAAATAAATCACATTAGTGTAACATCTGCTGCCTATGGAAGTAAGGGAAAGAAGCTGGTCCTAGTGATGGGGAAAGTGGTCAGTGTATATTGTAGAGTAGCGGTCGCTAACCGGCGATCCGTGAGATCCGAAAGGTTGGCATCCAATGTTGTAGAGATACCAGCGACACACACACACACACATATATATCTACATATATATGCAATGCACAGGCATGCCTTGGAACTATTGCAGGTTTGGTTTCAGACTACTACAGTAAAGCTAGTATTTGCAAGAAAGGGAGTCATAATCTTTTGCTGGTAAAAGGTCTTGCCTTCAATTTGTAAAAAACACACATCTGTGAAGCACAATAAAGCAAAATTCAATAAACACATTGTGTTTTATATGTGAGTATGTCTTTATACATCTACATATAAAACTATTTTTTCCTCTATAATAAAGCATGACTACATACTATTCTGTCGAGTGTGTATTCTATAGGCTCTTGTACAGCTAGATTGTTTCCAATACTCACTGTATTTGTTTCAGTGAATAATACTGGCCATACTGATATTTTTCTCCCTGTTTATTTTACTTCTTTAGAATACATTCTTTGGAGGGGGCATATAAATATATCGATATTGGTGTATATTAAGTGTGTTACTTTACTACAGCTTCATTAGTTAATCCTCTTTCCCACAAGAAAAACATTTTTCTTCTCCTTTTTGCCAAGTTATATTAATAAGTCTTATTTTTTTCCCTCCCCCACAAACTAATCCTCCATTTTCTCTGAATGCTGCCTCTCTGATTTACTGAGAGAATGATAAGAATCAAGACTGGAAGCTGTATCAAAGGGCTGCTATATAAAAGGATCACATTTTCTAACAAGTTATACTGCTTTAATGTGTAATAGTGGGGGTATAGAAAAAGTTTTAAATTCTTTATGGAATTTCTAGGTGCAATTTGATGTTGATAACTTGTAAAATTGAGTAATTTTGTAGGTTTACTACTAGAATAGAAATAAATAGTGCTAGTTAAATATTTTTAGTTTTGTTACTTGAACATCATTATATTTTTTATATCAAGAATTCTAGTTAGTGGAATTTAGTTGAAAATTTGCACTTAAAGAGAAAAATAACATTCACTTTCACTCAACATTTTAATGCATTTCCCAGACTCAGTATGTGTGTTGGCTTATTGCCCTTTTACTGAGCATTCTTAGCCTACCTTTAAAAGAATGAAAAGTCTCTATCTTTTAAAATCTTCAGGCACAAAGGGCTTTATGTTAATTTAATCAAGATCTTTTGTGTCCTGAAAAGAATCCTAAGAAATTCATGCCTTTGGACTTTTGAGGATGGCCTGATAAAGCTTCTTAGAAATTGTGAAGTCTTTCATCTTGAATTGTTTAACCTTTTACTAAAGGTCATTTATGACAAATCAGTTAAGTACAAAAAAGAAATAATCTCCTGAGATGTTGGTGTGTTTTTTTTCTGCTGTTTTTAGGACTCAAAGGAACAGACACCTCATTACTTCAGTTTTGTAGTTTGTTTTGCTCTTGTTGAAAGAAAATTTATTCCTAATTGATCAATTAATGGCAAAAATAAAGAGTGCAGAAATTGTAATTACTAGACTTTCTCAGCTGGACATACACACCCACTCACACATATATATAAAGTTTATATTTTAAAAAGTCATCTAGTATGATTTAATTTAGATGAAAAGTGCAGAAAAGACAAATGCATAGAGACAAAATAGATTAGTGATTTCCATGGGAAGGGAATTTTCTGCTAATGCAGCAATTTTCAACATTTTTCATCTCTTGGTACACAAAACTAATTACTAAAATTCTGCAGTACACCAAAAAAATATATTTTTTTGCCAATCTGATAAAAAAAAATAGGTATAATTTTGATTCATGCACATTGGATGGCTATTGTTTTGTTGATGGTTGTAATTTTTTAAATTTGACAATCTAAGGGAGAAGAGGTCAGTGCCCCTGACTAAGTAGTCAGATATTGTATATTTTAAAATTTTTTGTGGCACATCAGTTGAAAATCCCTGTGCTAATGGTTTTCTGGTGATTTTTTTTTGTAGGGGGAGGTGATGAAATGTTCTATAATTGGTAGTGATAGTAGTATAAACTTGTCAATATACTAAATAGACCACTCAGTTATATACTTTAGCATCATGAATTTTATAGTATGTGAATTATATCTCAAAAATATTTTTGGTGTGTGAATTATATCTCAGAAAGGAGGAAACATCCACTTTTAAAAATATATATATTTTATTGATTTTTTATAGAGAGGAAGGGAGAGGAGAGAGATAGAGAGCTAGAAACATTGATGAGAGAAAGACATCAACCAGCTGCCTCCTGCACACCCCATACCAGGGATGTGCCCACAACCAATGGACATGCCCCTGACTGGAATCGAACCTGGGACCTTTCAGTCCACAGACCAACGCTCTATCCATTGAGCCAAACCAGTTTTCGGCCCACTTTTTATTCATAGCAAGATTTAAGGAGAAATATTAATTAGTCAAATAAATTGCATTGTGGTCAGTGGTAACAGACTGGCAGGTAAGCTGTCAAATAGTTGCATTACTATGGGTTCCTACACATTAGTTTTTCAGGCCACAAATGCTGCAAGAATTCAGAGGCAAGAGCATTCAGCCTGAGTGGGAACAGTATCTAGGGCAGCTTCACAGTTCTTTCTCCTGTATGTCTTGCCCAAAGTTCTTTAGTTCTTAGAACCTCTTCTCTGACACATATAGCATTCACATTATCTCTGCTTTGTGCAGAAAGTGAGCTGCCCAAAGGCTGGGACTGGGCTTTATTTATCTTCTCATTGTCTGTGTCTAATATTTTGCCTTGTATATAACAAGTGCTTCATAGTTGTTGATTTGAATTTTACCAATAAAGCTTTTCTGAGAGCAATGCTATCTCAGCAAATATAGATTATGAATAAGCACAGGTTCTTTAATAACATTGTTTTGCTCAAGTTCTTCTCCCCTCTCTAAGCTTTAGTTTTCAGTCTATAAAATGGGATGATAGTAGTTACCACCCAGGGTAGATTTGTGTATTAAACAATGATGACAATGATGTCAGTTACTGACTGAACACTTTTTGTAGCACATGGTCAAAAAAGTATGTTTATCTTGATATAGTAGTATGTGGTGTGTGGGAATGTTTTGAAATAATGACAGAAATATCATGAGTTCTATTGGAGATGAGAATTTTTCAGAAGCTGGTCATATCTTGTGTGCATCAGTCTTCAGTCTTACCTGATTATGGGAAGTTACATTAATAGATGCATTTCAGTGTAATCATTGGTGCTATTCTGATATCCTGCTATATTCTTTCTTTCTTTTAGGATCTGAAGAAGTACCACTTCTATTATTGGTTTTGCTCTCCTGCTCTCTGCCTTCCTGAGAGTATACCCCTCATTCAGGGGCCAGTGGGCTTGGATCAAAGGTTTTCACCAAAACAGGTATCAACAAATAAAGCAAAATGCAAGTAATGTGCAAGCTTAGTTTATCTACTACACTCTACAGACAGACGGACACTTTTCTGAATGAGGAGCTGGTCACTATGGAATCTTCCAGTGATGGTACTTAGAACAGGTTTATTTACAAAATGTTTACAAAATCCTTTTGAAGAAGTAGTGAACAATAATTTTCCAGGATTTCAGTGACATTTGCTAAAATTCTAAGCCAGTAGGGAGGAATTATAGGAACATTTAAAAGACTAAGAATTTTCTAAAATGTGGTTTTCACTTTCATTGGGGGGATCATAAGGCACTATACTTTGGAATGAGAGCCTTTGAAACCAAATAGAAGACATTCTTCTTCCCTTATGCCAAGATGCAAAACTTCTGTATCCGGAATGGTACATGCAGAGCTAGTCATTGAAGTTTAAGAAAGATAATAAGGTCACTAGAAATGGTCCAGCCGAAAGCAGTTTGGCTCAGTGGATAGAGCATTGGTCTGCGGACTGAAAGGTCCCAGGTTCGATTCCGGTCAAGGGCATGTACCTTGGTTGCTGGCACATCCCCAGTAGGGGGTGTGCAGGAGGCAGCTGGTTGATGTTTCTCTCTCATCGATGTTTCTAGCTCTCTATCCCTCTCTCTTCCTCTCTAAAAAATCAATAAATATATTAAAAGAAAGAAAGAAATGGTCCAGAAAAGAGCAATGAAAATAATCAGGCTGATAGAACACAGACCTAAACCAAAGAATTCTGACTGTTATTGAAGCAAAAATTGAGTGGTATGAATATGTGAATTCATGAAGCACATCAGTTACTAAAACCCTGAATTCTGAAAACAAGGAGCAGCCTTTACTGATTAAAAAATAATAAGTGTGTTTACTAAGAAACATCAAAGGATATGGTTTTGTGGTACTAATTTCCCAAAGAGAAATATAAGTTGGGAGAAAGGATTATACATGGTAATTGGCTGTTGATGTGTGTGAGGTTTCTTTTAAGAAAAAATGTTCTCAAATCATTGTTATGGTTGCATAATCCTGTGAACATGCTAAAAACAACATTGAATTGTGCACTGCAAATGGGTCAGTTGTTTGGTAAATGAATGTGTCTCACTAATGCTGTTAAAGATTATGGAAAGGTTCAGGTTAAAATTCATAAAAGTCATAGATGTTTGGATACCTCTCTCTACCTTTGTGGTTCATATCTTAGAGAACTACCATGCTGTACCATAAAATGTCCTTTTGTGCCTCTAAGAAACACCACCATTCTTGTGAAAAATATTATGTAAAAGTGAAGTGGCATTATTTGGGTCACTCTTATGTTCATTTGCTGCAAAACAGAAATAGGGATGTGATCAGTCATTTCCAGTCCTCTGGATTGAAATTAACATTTATTGTATGTCAATTTTTAGCTCAGCACCATATATGTGATTCCTGGAGAATAACTCAGTGTTTCCTGTTTCCAGATTCAAGCCCTTGAGCGTGCATATGATGATCTCTGTCAAGCTGAAGGTGTCCCAGCATTACCTTACTTCCTAATCAAGTATGATGAGAACATGGTGCTGGTTTCCTTGCTTAAACACTACAGTGATTTCTTCCAAGATCAAAGGACAAAGGTCAGAGAAACTGAGTATCATTTTATGATAGACCACTAAAAAATTCAAATTCACTTTGATTTATTTATCTCTTCAAAGAATGTTTCAGAACATTTCATTATCTTCATTCACACACACACTGCAGTTCCCAGATCAGCTCCTGCTATGGAATTTTCTAGCTCTATTGCACCTCAGAGTAATTTTGGATTCCTTGCTTCCCATTAGTAATGAAGTTATTTCAATTTTCCTTCCCAATATATTTTGTATGTATGTTTTAATTTATTCCCAGAGCTACCACTGTAGCTCTGGACAAGCAGAGTATTCTTGCTTCCATCTTGTACACCAATACTAAAGAAGTGCCTGCCTCAAACTGCTCACATTCGCTCATTCATTTATTGATCAAGAGTTAATGGTGTCTTCTTTCTGGCTCCAAGCTTACTTTCCTGCCTCATTTTTCATCTTTTTCCTCTTAAACCATTGTTCCAATAAGTTTGTCTGTTTTCATTAGACAATCCCCCTAATCAACTATGCCTAGAATTTTTCCTACGTTATATCTCTCTTTATCCTCATGTAGTATCATATTCCCAAAACATATTCTACCAGTGAAAATCCTATGAAACTCCTTTTTATTTATTTAAAAAATATTTATTGTTCAGATTATTATAGTTGTTCCTCTTTTTTCCCGCCCTAGCTTCCCTCCACCCGGTTCCCAGCCCAACCCATGCCCTGACCCATCCCATCCCCCCACTGTCCTCATCCATAGGTGATTGATTTTTGTCCAGTCTCTTCCCACACTCCATGCTCCTTTCCACTCAAGGATTGTCAGTCCACTCCCTTTCTGTGCCCCTGATTCTATTATATTCACCAGTTTATTCTGTTCATCAGATTTTTTTATTCACTTGATTTTTAGATTCACTTGTTGATAGATTTTGTATTTGTTGTTCATAATTTTTATCTTTACCTTTTTCTTCTTCTTCCTCTTCTTAAAGAATACCTTTCAGCATTTCATATAATACTGGTTTGGCAGTGCTGAACTCCTTTAGCTTTTTCTTATCTGTAAGGCTAAGATGGCCAGCAGGAGAGGGCAGTTGGGGGCGATCAAGCCAGTAGGGGAGGGCAATTGGGGGCGATCGGGCTGGCAGGGGAGCAGTTAGACATTGATCAGGCTTGCAGGGGAGCTGTTAGGGGGCTATCAGGCTGGTAGGCAGAAGCAGTTAGGGGCAATCAGGCAGGCAGGCAGGAGCAGTTAGGTGCAATCAGGCAGGCAGGCAGGCAGGCAAGTGGTTAGGAGCCAGCAGTCTTACATTGCATTTTGTTGTCAGGCTTCCTCTCAGACTTTTCTTGTTTTTGATGACCTTGACAGTTTTAAGAAGTACTTGGCAGTTGTTTTGGTAAAATGCCACTTAATTTGGTTTATCTAATGTCTTTTTAAATATATAAATCTTTATTTATTTCAGAGAGGAAGGGAGAGGGAGAGAGACATAAGAAACATCATTGATGAGAGAGAATCATTGATTGGCTGCCTCCTGCACGCCCCTACTGAGGATCAGCCATAACCCAGTCATTTGCCCTAACTGGGAATCTAACCCTGACCTCCTGCTTCATAGGTCATTGTTCAACCACTGAGCCTCACTGGCCGGACTAATGTTGTCTTTTTCATTATTAGACTGGGGTTATGGGTTTTTGGAAAGAATACCACTGAGGTGAAACACCATTTTCATCATATCATATCAGGGGGTACCTGATATCCACGTAGCATCCCTGGTGGTGTTAAACTTGATTACTTGGTTACATAGTATTTGCCAGGTTTCTCCACTGCAAGGTTACTATTTTTTCTTTGCATGTGATTCACTAACTCCCAACTGCTTTCAATGAGAAGAAGGAATAAGCTCTACTCCTGGAAGGGGTAGTATGTATCTACATATATTATTTGGAAAACTGAGAGGAAGACTTGTTCCTTTACCTTCACATGTTTACTTATCCATTATATATATCAGAATGATTTCATAGATATTTATTTTATATTATTGGTTATAATATCATATGACATTGTTTATTTTATTGCCCATATTGGTCCAACCTTGGCCACAGAGTTCTTTGTTCTTTTTGTCAGGGTAAAAACACACACAAATACTTTTTAAAATTTATCTTTGTCTTTATTGTTGAAATTATTACAGCTGTTCTCTTTATCCCCCCATTGATCCCCTTCACCCCACACCTGCCCCTCCCAGGCTTTTCAGTTGGCTCTGGTGTCTCCTTGACATCCCATCCTTTTGTTTATTGTGCACTTCCTTCCTTTCTAATATACAAGATGCTCCAGGTTTCTCTTGTGTTTTTCCTGCCTAAGCCCTAGAATTAGCCACGTGTCCAAGGAGCCCTGATTCCTTTTATTGGAGAATGGTATTTAGAAATCAAGAACTAGGTGCTCAGGATTTATTGTCTTTTGAGAGAAAGGAGACAGAAAAAAATTGAAAATGTTAAGTATAATGTTCAAAATGCTTTGGAAGCAGAAAGAACAGAGTGACCACTTTAGGCACGGGGAGTCATCACTGAAGAATTGGTATTTGAAGTTGAGTCAGGTTTTCTAGACAGAGGTCAGAGTTGTGGGAGTAGGAATGGGAAGGAGTGGTAGGAAACATGTCAGCAATCAAGGGCATCTGGCTTTTTAATTTGATCTGACTATAGGCTTATAGTGATAATGATAATAGCCCTGTGATGGTCTCATTATATAAAAATTAGCAATTTTTATAGATTGTCTCTTTAGGAGAGGTTTTTTCCTATGTGAGCCCTGACAGTTGACAGTACTTCCTCCCTCCCTGTCTTCCTTTCAATCTTTCTTCCTTTTAAATGTATCTAGTTCCTAATCTCTGCCAGGCCCCGTACAAGGTACAGGAGTACAGAGAAGAATTTGATAGCTTCTGCCATCAAGAAGTTCTGTCAGCCAAAACCGGTTTGGCTCAGTGGATAGAGCGTCGGCCTGCGGACTGAAAGGTCCCAGGTTCGATTCTGGTCAAGGGCATGTACCTCCGTTGCGGTCACATCCCCAGTAAGGGGGGTGCAAGAGTCAGCTGATCGATGATTCTCAGCTGATCGATGATTCTCTCTCATCGATGTTTCTAACTCTTTATCCCTCTCTCTTCCTCTCTGTAAGAAATCAATAAAAATATTTTAAAAAGAAGTTTTGTCATTCATACCTATATCATTTTGCTTTCTTCTCTCTCCTATAGCCCTTCATCAAGTGTCTAATTATTAACCTTTAAAGGACGGTATTTAAATTCCCGTTTTGGGGTCTCCTGGCCAGAGCTTTTTTGGGCATTTAAATTCAGCTCTGCAGGCATTTACTTTTTTGCCTCTATATTATCTATTTTTTGAGTTATTTATGAAAAGTAAAAACATTTATAAAGAAAATGTATTATTTATTATTAAAGTTATCTTTTAATATATGTTATTGATGTTAATTCCGGGAACTAAAGTTCCCTTTCATCCGATAAAGGTAATGCTTTTGCAGTGCAGCATAAAAAGTGAAGAGCAAGTATTAACAATGTCTGTATTGTGAATTTGACATAATACTTACCTCATTCAGAAAGTCTTTTATGTTCACAGATAACAGTTGGTGTATATGATCCCTGTAACTTAGCCCAATACCCTGGATGGCCTTTGAGGAATTTTTTGGTCCTAGCAGCCCACAAATGGTACAGTATTTACATGTGACTGTTGGTCTGTTTATATGTTTTTGACAATGTGTCTGCCTATGTCTGCACTTTTTTTTTTTAACTTCTGGCACACAAACCAGGTGGGAGTCAATAAATCAGTCATGATCCAATTTCATCAGTGATGAGCCCCTAAGCAGGCCTGTTATGAGGTTGCAGACTGTGACCATACTGTATTAAAGATGTTTTAGAATATGGCAGGGCAAGTAGCCAAAGGTCCTGACCCTGACATTCTTCAGCCCTCTCTTCAGCTTTTGGATAGGATTATCCTGTTGCTTCTGGCCTTCTTTTGTCCTACCCTAAAATAATTTAAAAAGAGGGTACCTAAGGGCCAATATACATTTGAAAAAATGCTCAACATTGTTGGTCATCAAGGAAATAAAATGAAATACTAATCATTAATAAATCACAATCCCAGGTCTTGTTGAAGATATGGAGCAATTGGAACTCCCAGACACTGCTGGAAAACTGGCAGTTTCTATCACAGTTAAAAATATCCTCAGTTCAGCAGTTGTACTCTCAAGTATATAATCATACATAAATGCTCACTCAGATACAAGCAAAAGACCTATCAAGAATGTTTATGGCTGGGAGGCTCAGTTTGTTGGGGCATCTTTCCGTACACTAAAAGGCTGTGAGTTTGATTCCTGTGATTAGGGCACATATTGGAGGCAACCAATCGACATTTCTCTCTCACATTGGTTTTTTTCTCTCTCCCTTCTTCTCTCTCTAAAAATCGATTAAAAATAAAACATATCCTTGGATGAGTATTTTTTTAAATGAATTTTTAAAATATAGAATATTTTTTTTAATTTTTTCATTGATTTTTAGATAGAAATATAAATGATAGAAAAACATCATTGATCGGCTGCCTCCTGCACACCTCCTACTGGGGATGGCGCCCACAACCCAGGCACGTGCCCTGACTGGGAATTAACTCGTGACCTCTTGTTTCATAGATTGATGCTCAACCCACTAAGCCACATAGGCTGGGCTATCACAGCATTATTCTTAATAACCCCAAACGGGGAATAACCCATATGGCTTTCAGTAATGAAATGGAACGGAATAAATTGTGGTGTATTCATTGCAATGGAATGCAATGTTACAAATTTTAGTGAACTGCCGATACATGTATCAATATAGATGAGTTTTAAAAACATAGTGTTGGTTGAAATAAGCAGGATATAAAGTATATATATACTCTATGATTCCCCATCTATGTGAAAATCAGAATATGCAAGAGCCATGTATGCTCTTGGAAGTTAGAGTAGTAACTTTTGAAGGGGTGGTTAGTAACTGGGAGAAGCCATGAGACAGGCTCCTTTATATTTAAAAGTTGTGTACTTGTCTTTGTGGCTGCTTTGCTTAAGTCAAAATGTTAACTTAAAAAAAAACGAAAGTAGCTCAGTTATAGATTGTCCCCAGCGGGAGAATGGTTATACTTACTTTTCCAGGTGGTCAGTCTATCCAGTGCAAATGGGCTTCCTAACTACTGAAGTATGGCATCATAGAATTTAAGTGCAGATGGAGAGAAAGGCGACCAGAAGAACCCATGCAAAGAAGACATTCTTTTCAATGTCTTGTAAGCTTTTTTCCCCTATATTTAAGATTCATTTGTCAGAATTATTTAAGATTGTTATATGAAATTCACCTAGAAAGAAATCACAGCCTATTCCACCTTCAGCCTCTAAGCACTGAGACAAAGGGAGCATACAAGGATATATTCAGAATCTCAAAGGTTAAGGCCATCCCTTGAGGGTGTCAGGGAAGCATAATTATAGCGAATTGCATTCTTTCCACCTAGGTTTGCTGAAGTTCTGATGTGAGCTCTTTCTTTTCCTTCCTTAAAAAAATAACAACCACCAGGAGTGGTAGTTTCCAGTCTGTTGAAGTCCTCTGCTTCCGGGACCGCACCTTGCAGGGGGTCAGAGACATCACCCACAGCATCATCTTCGAAGTGAAGCTTCCAGAAATGGCTTTTAGCCCAGGTAACTTGCTGGTCTTTGAGAATGCATATAATTTTTATCATAAACCTAATCAGGCTTAACTTTCCTTTCATCCTTTTACAATAGCAGCAGAAGGAGAGAAAAGTGCAATTCCTACCTCTTTGTCAATGTGTTCACCTCCCTTGAACAGAGAGCAGCTCTGCTAGTCTGACAGGCACGAAGGCAAAGATTGTCCCCAGGAAATTTTCTCCAGGCAGGATTTTTCAATCTTAAGGATGTTTCCCCCCCTAGCTTTGTTTCTATTTTTGCTTAGACACAATCTTTATTCCTGATCCTTCTTAAAGGAAAAATGAAATATTAATGCACTGACATACATATTTGTTATAAACTCAAAAGTTTGTGTGATTCTACTCTCCATGCAATAAATGAGGGAGCAAAAGTGCCTTGTCTCTTTCCACATTTAATATTTTTCATTTGGTCCTGTGTGATAGACATCAGCTATTCTCCTCCTTTCATAAATAAGGAAACTTGGGCTCACAGTCATTTTATATAGATTATGTGTGTGCATGCATGCATGCATGTGTGTTACATTTATGTTTATATTCATGTCACAGAACACATGTTGAAGTTTGAGTAAAATAAAGGTGATACTTACTAGTACCCACCACATGGAATATTCCTTAAGAGGAATCTGTCACGTGTAAAAGACAGAGCACAATGTCTGGCATGTTATAGGTGCTCTATAAATACTGATTTATGTATTTATCACACTACATAAGCCCAGCACTCTCCAAAAGAATCCCTCAGATTTTTGCGTCTTACATGCTTTTCAGAGTAGTTTCACATACATTGTTCAATTCTCTCCTCACAATGTCCCACATAGCTTCAAGGCCCATTGCTTTCTTTAATCCACAAGCTGTGTGCCTTAAAGTGTTTTAGTAGTGGGTGGAGGGGGGAGGATGTTAATATTTCTTCTGAGATGGCATTTCTAGAATGTGGAATTCAAAAGGATCCAGAATTTCTCTGATGACATTTTATCAAGTAAATCTCTGCTGTAGCACTGAGAAATGTCTTAATTAGACTTCTCAGAGAGAGATAGACAATGAAGTGCTTGGTCAGGCAATTGGGGAAGTGGTTTACTTGTTACTTTGAGCCATAAGAAATCCATTGCCTCCCTGCTATTTTTAGACAGTTGCATTTGGTTTAGCGCCCTCTTCTGGCACATTCTAAAATAGCTTTCATGTGATGCTAACTTGAATACTGTACTTTTGTTATGTTAAAGCCACAACCTGAGGATAGTTCTAGGGGAATGAGGTTAGCTAACAAGTAAGGTGTGCCTGGTCTACACGGGTAGGCTACCATCACCTTCCATACTTCCCTCCCTAAATCCTGCTAGTCACCTTTGGGGGAGGCACTTTGCTTTCCGTTTTTAAGATAAAGTCATTGGAATTACTCTTATTCCCTGCTCCCGGTATTACTGATGCTTGATGGAACTGGCAAACCCAGGAAACACTACACTTACATTTGAAAAAGAGGCTTTCTATAATCCTGTAATGTCTCAAATCATCTTTTTTGAGTGTGGATGGAAAGGCAGTTTTTCTTTTTTTTCTTCTTTTTTCATGCAAATTATTAGTTCCCCTTTTAGTTGTAAATTAAACTTTATTTTTCACCCTGGCCAGGTGGTTCAGATGCTCCTGGCATTGTCCCATATACCAAAGGGTTTCAAGATCGATCCCTGGTCAGGGCACATACTTAGATTTGCAGGGTTGATGCCCGGCTGAGTTACATTGGGAGGCAACCAATGGATGTTTCTCTTTCACATCTATGTTTCTCTTTCCACTCTAAAATCAGTAAAATTAAAAAACAAACAAACAAAAAATATCCTTGGGTGAGGATTAAAAAAATCTTTCTAAATAATTATTCTGTATTATAGTGTGAACCGAAAGGTTTTTTTTTTTTTTTAGTATTTCTAAGACATCCCATACTTGCAGTGGTATCATAAGTACAGTTTTAAATCTTCTATATTTTCTTACGCTCTTCATTGTGCAGCCACACCCACTCTCCATTGCTGATATAAAGTATCCTGGCAACTGGCTGAAGGAGGCAGCAGACACTGCTGAGAGTGGGAGAGCCCTCGTTTTAATTCCTGTCCTGATGTTCTCCTTCTAGTTGACTAACTGGGAAAACAGGTCCTAAGTTTCCCCTAAAAATATTTTCTCAATAATTTTGGATATGACTTACAGATATAGTTTATATGGAAGCAGGTATGATAGATTAAATATTGCTGTATATACAGTATCCCAAAAATGTGTACAGGCACTTTGAATAGTTATAAAGGTAACTAGAGGCTGTGTGCACGAATTCATGCACCGGTCCCTAGGCCTGGCAGGCGATCGGGGTCAGTCGGGGTTGTCTTGCCCAGTCCTGATTGGGGCCAATGGGTGCTGGCTGGCGAGGGAGGGACCACCGGAGGGCTCCAGGGCATGTCTGGCCTGTCTCACCCAGTCGTGATTGGGGCCGATTGGAGTCTGGGAGGGACCACAGGAGAGCCCATCTAGTCCGATCCGGGCTGGCTGGCAGGAGAGGGATTGCAGGAGGGATCACAGGAGGGCTCCAGGGCATGTCCAATCATCAAGCTCAGTCTAGCCCAGTCCTGATCAGCTGGACCTCAGCAGCAAGCTAACCTACGGGTTGGAGCGTCTGCCCCCTGGTGGTCAGTATGTACCATAGTGACTAGTGGAACAGTCAAACAAATGGTTGACACTTAGCATATTATGCTTTTATTATATAGGATGTTTATTAAAATACATTTCATTTTCAAAGTTGAGCTATCAGTTGGTAAAGTGTGTATACATTTTGGGGGGACACCCTAAATAGAATTTTTTTACTGAAATAAGTTCTAAGTTCTTAGAAATAGCTACCTCATTTTGAGTACTGAGATATTTTAATTTGAAATGATATTTTGGTTTTGTCCCATGATTTTTTTTAATGAGAAAGCTTAGACTAGAGTTAGAATCTATAGTACTAGACTGTACTTGCCAGGTTTCTTATGCTGTGTATTCAGGAAGCATTTTTTATTAACATAAGAATAGTAAGAAAATATGATTTAGTAACAAGTCTGAATTATTAGGTCTAGTAGTAATTAATGTCGTTTTCTAATACCTTTTTTAAATCGAATTTATTTAAACAATACAACAAAATTTAATCAACAATATAGTTGCTGTTGTTTTCTACTACTTATGCCCAACGCTCAGGAAGCATTTTAATCCCTCTGTTGTAAAATTCTTGTGATTTTGATGCAAAAAATTCGGTCAATGCATTTTTGAGGCATTCTTCATTATTAAATTTTTTTCCAAGAAGAAAGTTTTGCAAAGAACAAAACAAATGGTAATCGGAAGGGGCAATATCAGGAGAATATGAAGGTTGAGGGAGAACTTCCCATTCCAACTGGCACAGTTTTTCAGCAGTGATTCTTGCAGTATGCGGTCGTGCGTTATCGTGGTGAAGAATTACGCCCTTCCGATTAATCAGCGCGGGTTCTTTTTCTCTTAAAGCTTGGGCTAACCTTTCCAATTGGGCACTATACACTGCACTTGTAATGGTTTGGTTAGATGGTAAAAGTTCATAATGAAGAATTCCTTTAAAATTCCACCAAACACACAACATCACTTTTTTCGCATGCAAGTCAGGTTTTGGCGTGGGCTGCGGAGCCTCATTTTTGTCCAACCATTGAGGCCGCCTTTTCAAATTAACATACAGCACCCATTTTTCATCTCCGGTAACAATTTGCTCTAAAAACGGCAAACGGTTTTGACGAGAGAGGAGCGAACTGCAAATTGTGACTCTTTGATTACGGTTGTTGTCGGTCAACTCATGAGGAACCCATTTTCCAAACTTTTGGACTTTGCCAAGTGCACGCAATTGATTTTAAATTGTTTTTTGTGAACAATTTAAAGTTGTCTCAAGCTCTTGTTGGGTGATTTGAGGATTTTGCACCCAAAGAGCTTGAAGAGCTTCTTGATCAAAATTGGACACACGGCCTCGACCACTCTTGTCATCTAACGAAAAATTTCCCTCGCGAAATTTCTCAAACCAACGCTGGCATTTTCTGGCGCTAACTGCATCTTGACCAAGAGCACTACAGATGTTTTTTGCAGCCTCACTTGCTTTTCTTCCTAATTGGAACTCGTAAAGCATGCAGTGCCGAATATGCTCTTCATCCGCCATCTTCTCAGCCCTAGTTTTGCAACAAAAACCAAACCAAACACAAACTTTTTCAAGCAAAACTTGTTAATTGCACTTCACACGTTCTGTAGATACCACGTGTTTGAAGGTTATGTCAATACAAGTCAACGCCAAGCAAGATTTTAAACGAATGTTTAAAAACGACATTAATTATTACTAGACCCGATATATTTTTTTTCCCCCCAGAAAAAGAATTTTGAAGTTTTACCCTATTTAAGAACTCAAATTTATTGTATCAGTTTCAATTTTTCATGACTTTGAAAACGACCACACCAGAGGCCTGAGTAAGAACAAGAAGGGACGTTTGTTTCTGGACTTCTTTCTTTGAATGATGCCCCCAGCCAAATCGAGGCTCAAGTAGCTTTCTAGCACGATTGGTCCCAAGGTTTCCCATTGGTCATCCTATCTCATCTTTTCACAAAAAAAAGATTATGTAAATGAAATCAACACCTTCTAGTTCCCATAATTATATTAAGCAATATTTTTTAATTTTTTAAGATTTTTATTGATTTCAGTGAGGAAGGGAAAGGGAGAGAGAGAAACATCAATGATGAGAACCATTGATTGGCTGCCTCCTACACGCCCCCTACTGGGGATTGAGCCTGCAACCTGGGCATATACCTCTGACTGGAATCGAACCTGGGACCCTTCACTCCACAGGCCAAAACTCTGTCTACTGAGCCAAACCGAAGGGTGCAATTTTTTTTTTTTTTTAAATGGAAGGTCAAAAGATAAAAAGTTTTTAAGGAAAGAAAAATAGAGGTGTCAGTAGAAATCTAAAAGGAGGAGAGTGGCCAACGTACACCAGTGTATCATTAGAAACAAACAAAATTTCTCCCAGTAGTTTGGTACATTAAGTCAAGGAGTTTCTGTTCCTTCAGAGACTCATGGAAGGCAGACAGGGTGGGATGTAGCTGGATGAAGTCCCTGCAAAGGAATTGAGGCTCTATTATAAATTTCAGGGATTCAGTGAGAAAGGGACTTAGATATGGAGATGTGGGGAGTGTAAGAGAGTGGCTGGACCCCATTAACAAGTTTTCACCAAGAAAGTCAGGTTTCCATTAAGGTAAGGAGGTAGCAAGAGTATTGTACAAAGCAAGTGAGGTTTTTAAGAAGATTTTGCAGCAGTAGAATAGAGCTGCATTTCCCTGAATGGGTTACCAGTGATGGAAGGAGATACTGAGAGCCAGGTAAATTTGGGAAAACACAAAGCCAACTTAAATTCAATGTTCCTTTACTGTAGGCTTCTCAAAGCTTTTATCTCCCTCACATGCAACCTGAATCTCCAGGTTTGGATGGTGGCAAGGAGTGGATAGGGAACACAGAAATGGGTCCAGAGGTATTTCCCATGTCTATTAGCCACAGGCTCCTTACCTTCTGAGCTGCCGGAATTGGAGTTACATAAGCATCCTTAGCAGAGGTTAAAAGAGATAGGGAAGGGGAAAGTCTGAATGGATAAGGATGAGCTTAAAGAAAAGGGCAGTTTAACAGAGGGACAGTCTTCTTGGACTACGATCTGCCCACAGGTAAGTACACAATGGTGGAGTTGAGTGGCTGAGCAGAGGGACACAAAATGAGCAACAGAAGGGATGTACTGTTCACATCCCAGTGGGAACTTCATCAGAAGCTGTGCTGCCATCACAGGATCTGTTTCCTTAGGTAGAGAACCTTCAGCAGGGTTATACCAATGCCAGATATGATTGTTTTTATTTGAGCAACTGCAGAAATCAAAGCAACTTAGGCTAGAATCGAGGGCTATTTCAGAAGCTCCTCTACTGATTTACTGGCCTCTAAACAAGATTTCTAGTAGCCATAGAAGATGGTAAGACAACTGAGGCAAATTCAGGCCCAAGAATCTTTGAGAAAAGTGTACCAAAAGTTTATCAGCATGTGGGCCATCTTGCTGCTTGACTGACTTGTTTTTATCCTTCACTCCTTCATTAAATTTATTGTTTTATTTGCTTTAAGATTGTCCCAAAGCAGTCGGATGGGAAAAGAACCAGAAAGGAGGCATGGGACCAAGGATGGTGAACCTCAGTGAGTGCATGGACCCTAAAAGGTATATTTTGGAAGATAGTTTCGTCAATGGGTCTTTCGCACACCAGGTTCTATGAGGTCAATGGCACTGCACAGTTCAGTCCAGGGCTGCCATTCACATGAACAGTGGGTGTCATTGCATTCTTTGCTATCTAACTCATAATTTAAGTTTGGTTGTGGGGATTAATATTAATGATGGATATCCTGAAGGGCACACAGTTCATCTGTTCATCTAGACATTCTGAATTTTGTTCTAGCTTTAAGCAGACTCTAAGACCTGTAACCTTGCAGCATGTTGTAGTCCTTTATTCATTGCCCTTTAAGTTTGTTCTAGTAGCCTGCAATGAAGGACATTATAAGAAATATTTCATGGAAACCAGTGTTGTATTTAAGGGAGAGTGGCATGGAAGAAAATCTTTATTAGGAAAAACTTTCTTCTTAAGCAGCTGGTAGCTGGTGTTGTTTTTATTTATGGACACATTGACTTCTAGTATCAGTCATGCTTCTGTTTTCCTCTTCACTGCCAGGAGCTTAGTATCAAATATGTGGCCTATTTCTAACAATTGCAGAGGACTACAGTGTTACGATTCTGCACAATAACCTTTCTCCTCTCCTTTTACCCTCAAACTTCATCTTATTTTTCCTTTGATCCTAATTTGCTTAGTATTTGTTTGTTTTCTCATACAGCTACTTCTATTCAAAAAGACCAAAATTGGGGTATAAATGACTGATTGATAAAATAAAAATAAGTAATTTTTATTTTATAAAAATAAATAATTCTCTCATTTTCCAGATTAGCTGAGTCATCAGTGGATCTAAATCTCAAATTGATGTGTTGGAGATTGGTGCCTACTTTGGACTTAGACAAAGTTGTATCTGTCAAATGTCTGCTGCTTGGAGCTGGCACCTTGGGCTGTAATGTAGCTAGGACACTGATGGTAAGTTTTTGAGGGCCAAATGGTACCTTTGAAACTTCTCTTCCCATTTTACTATATCTGATTGCCTTCCACCCAGATGCCCTTTCTCCTCTCTCTCTCTCTCTTCCTTCTCCGTCCCCCTCAGTGTATTTTTAAATCTAAAAGGAATACATGCTTTTATTATAAGGTAAAAACACAAAGTCCCTCCATCTCTATCCCAAGCCACATTTCCCAGAATTAAGTAGACTTTATAGATTAATATGCAGTATATTTTTCCCTGAAGTATTCATAGGCATGTACAAATGAAAGACATTTGTCATTATTGCTGTTAACTTATTTTTATGAAAATTGGATCATAGCATACTGTCTATAACAGGTTTTTATTTTAAACTTAATATAAAAATAATTATGGCTCTCTTTTTATGTATTCCATAGTATGCGTATCTACTATTCCATTGTATGACTGCATTCTCGGTTTGTTTAAACAGTTCAGCATATTTTTCTTTAAGAGATGATGATGGTATGAACATTTTTACACTTATATCTTTATATATTCATAATATTATTTCTTTTGGGAAAAAGTCCTAGTAGAATTGCTATAGTAATTTTTTTTCTTCCAAAATTAAATTATCTTTCAAAACTATTATACTAGTCTCTCTCCTAGAAACATGTGAGGAACAGAGCTTTTTATTTGCATCTCTTTAATTAGTGAGGGTGAGTCTGAAATTTTATTTCTTTTTGAAATTTATTTCTTCTATTTATGTCCTCTGGGTTGTGTTTCTTTTATTATTTTGGAGTTCTTTTTATCATGGATTAACCTTTTTCTGTTATATGATGCAAATCTTTTTCTCAACATATTAATGTAAAGTATATTCAGCCAAATAAAGATTTTTTTAATTTTTGTGACTCATTATATTAGTCTTTTTCTTTATGGTTTACAGCACTCTTGTGTAAAAGTTATAAAAAAGGAAAGTTATCCATTTTTCTATCACATTTTCACTTTATTCTTTTCAGTGTTTGTTTAATATACATTTTAAAACCATATATGATATATAATAATGTCTCTTGCTTTTATCAATTAACACTGTAAACACTTTCCCAGGTCATTAAAAAGGATATCTATTAAACCTTTTAATGGCTTTAGAATATGCCTTCTTGTATGAGGAAACTTAATTTACTGGGACATTCCTCTAATGTTAGGCATTAACATTGATTCCAATTTTTTACTTAAGTATAAATTTTTGTAATTTTTTACATAGCCATATATTATGTTGCAAAGAACATTTTTGTGATTACATCTTCAGACTATTTCCTAGGAAAGCTTGCTGGAAGTAGGTCAAAGGATGTGTGCATTTTAAAGACTCCAGAAACATTGCCAAATTGCTTTCCAGAAAAATTATACCAGTTTATGTTCTCAACCAGTAAAACAGGTGTTTCACTGCCACATCCTCACCAGCATTGAGTATTGTAATTTTCTTTAATCTTTGCAGATTAGCCATTTAAACTGTGTAGCATTCCGGGAAGCCAGAAGTTAAGTGTGAAAGTCCACCTGCATGTGACTAACACGTGGCATGTTTGTAATTTATCTGGCTTTCTTCCCCATGCCCAGCATGTCCCCAGACTACCTTCCTTGCTCTCCACTCAGCATTGCTTTAAAGTATGCAACAATACTTTAGAAATAAATATCCCCAAACTAAGCACAAGTGACTTGGATTGCTCATACTTTCATTCTCTGTCCACAGTAGATTATTTAGCTGGGTTAGTAGACAGAAAAGTTAACTGTGGACATCAAAACAAACAATTGATCTAAACTCAGGTTTCCAAAGGATGGATTCTAGCCTGTCTTTCTCAAATCCCAAAACAAATCTTGGGTCTAAATTGATTGATTCATCAGACTAATTTAGTTTCGAGGTACCTAATAGAAGAATATTGAAATGAGAGAGAGCGGAAACTTAGCTTTATGGCTAATCCTATCAGAGCTTCTCTTAAAATAAATCATTATGCTTATTTATGATCTACTGAAATACACATACCCCACCTCACCCCCCAAAAAGTAGGCATCCTCATTTGGTTGCAACTCTAGAGACCTCATTGTTCTCCACCATTAACTATCGATACATCTATGGCTTTAGGTGAGTCACGTACCTTTTCTGGGCTTTAGTTTCCATTTATGTAAAACAAAGTAATTAGGCTAAGAATTTTAGATATCCCATCCAACTTTAAAGTTGTGTGGTTCTATACAACTTTATAAGATGAAAACTGAGAATATTGGAATCATACTCTACATTCCAGATTATTAAGGCTTTTGCCTCTTGGGGAAATAATACTAAATCTTCTACAATGTTAGTGGGAAATAACTTGTAAGTAATTTTCCCCAGATGTTAATTTAAGCTTTAAGTAAGTTTTAAGATGAGCTGTTATTTATACTTATAAAATTATTCCTTAAGGGAAGCAACGACATTGGGGGTTATTGCTAATTTTTTAAGATAGCAACATGGAGAGTTTTTATAAGACTCACCTCTAAATCTTTTTTCTGGTGCCACTGTCAAAAGTAATGAATTACTGGTTAGAGCAACTCTGACATTTCTTAGTCTCATTTCTACAGGAAACCAGGCACTGGCTATATAATTATTTTATCTTGTAAAGGAAGTTGATATTCTATTTATAAAAAACTGAATTTACACAATTTAATTTCTGAAGTTCTGTATATTTTGAGGTCCCTAAGCTGCTCCAAAGCAAACCCATTTTAGGTATTTCAAGAGAGATACCCCGTGAAATGTTTATCAGAAACACGCTATGATATCCTGTTTCCATGCAGGGGTGGGGCGTCAGACACATCACATTTGTGGACAATGCCAAGATCTCCTACTCCAATCCTGTGCGGCAGCCTCTCTATGAATTTGAAGATTGCCTCACAGGTGGCAAGCCCAAGGCCCTCGCTGCAGCAGACCGGCTCCAGAGAATATTCCCCGGAGTGGTATGTTGATGCTGTTTGGGAATGTCACGGGTTCCTCCTATATCTTTAGTGTTTTAAGTCTTGGGGAATAAGGCGGTATGGTATTAGTGAAAGACATTCAGATATCTATCCCCACCAGACCTTCAACATGTGGCTGAACCCCTGTTTTCCCATCACAGTGATGGGGATTAAAAGACAAAACAAAACCTAATATATTATTGTATAGAGAAATGAAAAAATATTTTGTAAGTTACAGTGCCTTATCTGACTTTAAGTTGATAGGCAAAGATTTCTTGGGACCCAGAATACTGACCATAGTGAAAAAATGTATGACTTGGACTTGATCAAAATCTAAAATGTCTGCTTCTCAAAAGACACCATTAAGAGAATGAAAAGGCTGGCCAAAACAGAAAATACTCATAGTATGTATATTTGACAAACATTTTTATCTAGAATATATAAACAAATCCTACTAAATAATAAGAAGCCAGACATACTGTTTTTTTTTTAAAGGGGCAAAAGACTTGGACAGTTTCACTAATTTCATAGTGAAACTATATAAATTTTCAGTGAACACATGCAAATACTGAACATTAATAGTCATCTGGGAAATATGAATAAAAACCACAAAGATATATAATTACACACCCACTAAAATGGCTAAAATTAAAAATATTAACAGTGCTAAATGTTATTAGGCTGTGGAGCACCAAGAACACTCATAGTTTGCTGGTAAAACAAGGCCTTTGGAAATTAGTCGGGCAGTTTCTCATGAAACTAAACGTACTCCTACCTAATGACCCCAAAATTCCACTTTTAGATATTTGTTTAAGAGAAATAAAAACATATACACAGGGATGGACAAAAGTAGTTTTATAGTTGTGAGTTATATTATTAATTAATTATTGTATGTATATTGTCTTCCATATGAACTACTGTAAACCTACTTTTGCCCACTTCTGTATATTAAAAGACTCACACACAAATGTCCATAGTAACTTTATTCATAATAGCCAAAATTTAGAAATAACCCAGAAAGCGAATAAACAAATTGAGGTATATTCACACACCAAAAAAGAATATACTATTGATACTTAACAGTATGGATGAACCTCAAAAGCATTATGCTGAGTGAAAGAAACCAAACATAAGCAAGATATACTGTAGGATACCACTTATGTGAGGTTCTAGATTAGCAAAACCAATCTAGGGTTTAAAAAGTCAGACTAATACACCCCTATGTTCATTGCAGTAATCAAGATATGGAAAAACCTAAGTGTCTATTGATAGATGAATGGTTAAAGAACATGTGGTACATATATATCAATACAATGGAATATTATTCAGCATAAAAGGAATTAAATGTTGCCATTTGTGACAACATGGATGGATCTAGAGGGTATTATGCTAAATAAGTCAGACAGAGAAAGACAAATATATGATTTCACTTATATGTGGAATCTAAAAAACAAAAACGAAGAAACAAACTTATAAATAGAGAGAATAAACTGATAGTTGCCACAGGATGTAAAGTTCAGCCTAGGGAATATAGTCAGTAATATACTAACTATGTTGGTGCCACATGGTTACTAGACTTATCAGGTTGATCACTTCATAAGATATAGAAATATCTAATCACAGTTATGCACCTGAGCCTAATGTAATAGTGCATGTTAACTACAATTGAAAAATACATTTAAAAAGTATATCAGAAAAGTGGCTGTCCCAATGAGGTTGGAGAGTATTGGGGATTGACTGGGAAGGGGCTCAAGAGCATGTTCTGTATCTTTACAGGTATGTTACAATGGTTAATCTGCAGTTTTTTTAAAACTCGCTGAACTGTACACTTGAGATTGGTGCATTTCACCCTATCTGTAAATTATATCTTGTCCCCCAGCCACACAATTGATCATTTGGGGAGTTTTAGAAAATATTGGTGGCTGAGAGATTCCAGTTTATTTTATTTATTTATTTATTTATTTATTTATTTATTTATTTATTTATTTATTTTAAATATATTTTATTGATTTTTTTACAGAATGGAAGGGAGAGAGATAAAGAGCCAGAAACGTCGATGAGAGAAACATCGACCAGCTGCCTCTTGCACACCCCCTACCGGGAATGTGCCTGCAACCAATGTATATGCCCTTGACCGGAATCGAACCTAGGACCTTTCAGTCCGCAGACCGATGCTCTACCACTGAGCCAAACGGGCTTCGGCAAGATTCCAGTTTAAATGGCCAAGGGAAAAGCCTGGCATTAGGAATGGATGGTGCTGGAGAGCATTATGCTATGCAAAATAAGTCAGTCAGAGAAAGATAAATATCACATGATCTCACTCATTTGTGGAATATAATGAACAACATAAACTGATAAACAAAAATAGATCCAGAGACAGAGAAACATTGATCAGACTGTCAAATCTCAGAGGGAAGGTAGGGGAGGATGGTTGGGAGAGATCAAACAGAGGATTTGTATACAGGCATATAAGTATAACCAATAGACACCAGGGGGGTGAGGGCATGAGTGCGGGTGGGGGTAGGGCAGTGGGGGGATACGGAGACATATATACCTTAATCAATAAAGAAAATTAAAAAACAAAACAAAAAACAACTCTCTGGGCAGTTCCTGTGTTGAGCACCTGCCCTCTGGTGGTCAGTATGCATTATAGAGACTGGTTGTTCCACTGTCTGGCTGAAAACGGCTCTCTGACATCCCCCAAAGGGTCCCAGATTGTGAGAGGATGAGGCCAGGCCGAAGGACCCAATTGGTGCATGATCAGGGCTGGAGAGGGATATGGGAGGTTGGGCAGCCGGAGAAGGACCATGGGCATGTCTGGCCCATCTTAGTCCCAATTAGGTGGACTCCAACAGCAAGCTAACCTATTGGTTGGAACATCTGCCCCCTTGTGGTCAGGGCACGTCATAGTGACTGGTTGACCAGTCAACTGTCTGCCTCCTGGTGGTCAGTGTACATTACAGTGAGCAGTTGAGCAGCCTTAACATATTACACTTTGATTGATTGAAAGGCCAACTACATGACCGGATTCTTAGCATATTAGGCTTTTATTATATAGGATAGGTTAGCCTTGGTATTGAGTAATTATAATATGCTTTAGTCTTGGTAAAATACCTAAATAAAACCTGTTTGGACCAAATTACCACCATTTAAATATACTTTGTCAATTATAAGACAGTAAGTTATCATCATCATCATCATCATCATCAACATTATTACTGTGGTTATTGCTTTTCTTATTGTTTATTATAGTACTTCCTAGATGTACCATACTTAATGGATGAACGAATGAGGTCCCAAGAATTGTCTTTGTGGTGTTTACATTGTTCAAGTGGACTTGTTTTGAATGTTTATTCTTTCTGAAGTCCTTACTTTCTGCCTGGAGTTCTTCCTGCTTTGCTTGCAACTTTTTTTTTTTTAATTCTTTTAAAAATTGTTGCTGTTGTCACTATTGTCCCTTTCTTGAATTCCATAGATTAGATTTAAAGTTTAAGATTAGGAAAAAAATAGCTACAGTATACAAAACAGATTTTCCTTTGTAACAGGACCTACTTGCCCTGACCCCTGAGCTATTTTTCTAGTAGGTAAGGGGTTTTGGCAAAGGAATGAAAAAACGATGTTTTCACAAACTTCCCTGTGGCCAGCTCTATCAGGGGATTAAGAGCGCAGTTTGTGATTCCAGAACAATTTATTTCTATGAAAAGTTAATGTCCCCAGCTTCTTTGGCACCTATATGTCTCGCTGTTAATCTGCCAAGATACTCTGGGGCCCGCAGGGGGCAAATGGTAAATTTCAGAGCTATGTTAAAGCCCCTGTGAAAAACATTAGTTCCCCATCCTTGAAGAAAGCCCAGGTCACCAGGCAACTTCTATTTTTTTGGACAGAACATGAGGCTTCACTTTACTACCACATGCTGTTATCAACTCCTCCTTTCCCCCCATCCTAACTTCCAAACAAATATCTGCACAGTAATAAATAGATTTATAGATTTTTCTGGCTGAAAGTTAGCAAGTATAGTTTTGGGTTTTGAAGTCTGTGTTTTTTAAGTGTGAATAACCCTGAGAAGACTAAGGCAAGACTAGCAGTCATTCTGATCTTACGTGAATTTATTAAATAAAATGATTTTTGTTATAACTTCCCATTTAGAGATATTATACACTAAGAAAATGGAGAGAGGGCAAGCTGGAAACAAGTTGGAAGAGACAGCTCTACTGGGGCAGAAGGGATTTGTACAGGCAGAGGGCACTTGGATGAAGTTTTTTGGCCTCAGATTTAAAGGAAGAGCAAAAGATAAACAGTTATTTCAGGGTTCTTGCCTCATTTGAGAAGTGTCCCTACCATCCACTTTGAAACTGGTATCCATAGTTCTCTGTTTGCTGCTTTATCCAGATTTAGGGACCCTGTGGTGACAGCCAAGGAGGTCTAAGATATAGACGTAATGAAGCTTGACAGCACAGGTAGCAAAAGAAGAAAGCAGCATAATTATGCACAGAGAAATTTCTAGTTGCAAGTGACCATACATACATGCTTGTAGCTTGGGGAGACATGGGCTCTGAGACACTAACTATACTTCCGCTTCAGACATCTGTATATCTGGGTGTTTCCCTAGAATGCCAGAGGGTTCAACATGAGCATCCCCATGCCTGGACATCCAGTGAACTTCTCCAGCGTCACCCTGGAGCAAGCCCGCAGGGATGTGGAGCAACTGGAGCAGCTCATCGAAAGCCATGATGTTATCTTTCTGTTGATGGACACCAGGGAGAGCCGGTGGCTTCCTGCCGTCATTGCTGCGAGCAAGAGAAAGGTAAAGGTCCTGGGGCTTTTGTCTCTGGTTGTGATTTAATGCACCATCATCCTAGAGGAAGAAGTCCTCAGTCCACCTTCTCTCCAGAAAATACAGGTGCTTTATGTCTTCTACTGACACCGTGCAAAAGGGCTTCCACTGCAGATTATCTGCCTCACAACCATCATCCAACATAATAGTTATCCTTCACTGTTTTAATTTCCATAGCCCTTTGTGGTACTCTATATTAGAAAAGGCACTCACACAAAAATGTAAGCTCCAAGGAGGTCTTATTCACTACTATTTGGTCAGTGACACATTCACTTATTTTGATGGCTAAATAAATCATGGTGCATACCATGTGATGGAGTAATATGCAACCAATCATGGTTATGTTTTCAATGAATTTTTAATAACATGGAAAATACTACATTATGTTAAATGAGCAAGATAAAGTGCTATATATATTTTATGTCAGTTATGCTTAAATATAAATGTTTATGTCTGTGTCTGTTTATCAAGTGGGGAGGAAGCAAGAAGAAGGGAGGAAGGGAGAGAAAAGGAATGGAGATAAAAGGAAAAATAATAGGAAGAAATTCCCCAAATTATTATAGTAACTAGTTTAGCTGTAAGATTTTTTTGTTTGTTTTCTTTTCTAGTATGGTTCCCCCCCACCCCCAACGTTATATTATATATAACCAGAAATTTGGGAGAATAAGCTAAATTACAACTAAGAGAAGTTTTCATAGTATAAGTAAAAAGAAAATCTGTTCTTAAAAATCTATATAAATGGTAAATTGTATAGTATATAAATTATATCTCAAAGCTATTATGAGAAAAATTTATGTAGACATGACAGACCATAAGATAATGGTGGAAAGAAGGTGTTTAGGAAATATCAGAATGTGGTTTTATACACCTACCTTTTACCAGCTAAGTGACTTTGAATAAGTTATAGAGGTAACCTCTCTGATTCTCATTATCCTCATATTTAAATAGAAAATGTTTACTGGGAGTTTTAAGTGAAACTGAAAGAAAAAATGTATGTAAATCATTTGTCAAATATTTTGCATTTAATAAGCCCTCAGTATTGGGTAACTTTTACCAACATTATCTTCTAGTATCTACGCTCATGCAGATACTTACAAAATACATTTTAAAAGTTGACCAAATATGAAATTAACCATGTTTTAAAACATGCGTCTCTTAATTCTAGTCTTTTATTCCTTGACAGCTGGTCATCAATGCCGCCCTGGGCTTTGACACATTTGTTGTCATGAGGCATGGCCTGAAGAAACCTAAGCATCAGGGCGCTGGAGACTTGTGTCCCAACCACCCTGTGGCACCTGCAGACCTGGGCTCGTCGCTTTTTGCCAACATTCCTGGTTACAAACTTGGCTGCTATTTCTGCAATGATGTGGTGGCCCCGGGAGATGTAAGTGAATTTCTTTGTGTTTCCAGATATTTCCTATAGCTATCTTGTCCATTAGACTAAAGAGACTCATCTCTTTCCTTTATGACTATTGAAATATTTATAAATAGTCATAAAGAAATTTATGACTTTTTCATAATTTTCTTCACTGTAAGCCTTCATTGGCATCATCAACCGTGTACAGCTTTTCCCTGTTCACCAATAAAAATGCAATGACAAACCATTTTTGTGCAAAGCCCAACAAGAAAATATAGGATGGACCAGTCCCTGTCAGTGCATAGCACTGTCTCTTGTGTGTATCTTACTGAAGAGAGATTAAATGGGGAGTAAGACCCAGATTTTAGTGCTGGCTTAGACACAGCCTCATGGGGTAGTTCCAAAATAAGTTTTTTAGGCTACATGTGCTTCTGCAGAATGGGGCTATGGCTCATAGCTGGTCAGATTTAGCAAGTAAAAATACAAATTCCCTGTTAACTATTTTTTTTTTTAATTTTATTGATTTTGTACAGAGAGGAAGGAAGAGAGAGAGTTAGAAACATCGACGAGAGAGAGTCATCGATCAGCTGCCTCTTGCACACCCCCTACCTGGGGATATGCCCGCAACCAAGGTACATGCCCTTGACCGGAATCGAACCCGGGACCTTTCATTCCCCAAGCCGACGCTCTATCCATTGAGCCAAACCAGTCCCAGCAAATTCCCTGTTAACTTTTAATTGCAAGTAAATAATAAATAATATTGTAATATAAGTATGTCCCATGCAGTATTCAATATCTGCTCACACTAAAAAAGTATTCATTGTTTATTTAAAATTCAAATTTAACTGGTGCCTGGCCAGTGTGGCTCAGTAGTTGAGCATCAGCCTACGAACTAGGAGGTCACAGTTCGATTCCCAGCCAGGATATATGCCTGGGTTTTGGTCACCAACCCCAGTGTGCAGGAGGCAGCCAATCAATGATTCTCTCTCATCATTGATGTTTCTTTTTCTCTCTTCCTTTCCCTTCCTCTTTGAAATCAATAAAAATATTTTTTAAAATATAAAAAAAAAAAGAAACTATATTATTTGAGGCTGAATGTTCTTTGCCAACAGTGAGCATGTGGTTATGTTGTATAACTTTATCATGGAGGAGTTTCATGCTTCAGACAGTCAGAGTCGAGTGAAATAGACCTTTTAGCACATGTCAATGATTGTCTCTCTGTAGTCAACCAGAGACCGGACCTTGGATCAGCAGTGCACTGTGAGTCGTCCAGGACTGGCCATGATTGCAGGAGCCCTGGCAGTGGAATTGATGGTTTCTGTGTTGCAGCATCCAGAAGGGTGAGTTGGGTATTTAAACAAAGAAAGTTTTTGTGTCTCCTTGGCCTTTTCACAGCCTGACTCTTCTGAGAATTGTGTTGCTCTTTCTGTCCTCAAAAAATAAGACTAAAACAAAACAAAACAAAAAACTGGGTGATTTTTTGGCCTGGAAGAACTTGTCATGCAATCTTTGGGGCTACATCTCCACATCCTTTTGGATTTGAACTCTCCTAGTTCAGTTTGGTGACTGATACAGAAGAATAAAAATTTTGGTACGGGCATTAGGACCTTCATGCTTTTATTTATTAGTGACTTTTATCTCCTTAGCCCTGAACATGTATATCACATATGATAGAAATTATATTTGGCTGTATAATACAGAGATCTATCTTCAGTAACTTAGCCAAACAGGGCTTTATTTTTCTTATGTAGCAAGAAGCTCAGAGGAAGGCAGTCCAGGGCTGGTACAAAGGCTCTATTATGCTATCAGGGACTCAAGTTTCTTCTTGTCATTCACTAGCCACTCTTTGCTTTCTTTCTTATGCTTGTCACCTTGTGGTTAAAAATAATAATAATAATAATAATGATGGCTGCTGTACCTTCAGTGTTGTTTCTGTGTTATAGTTAAGAAGAAAGGCGCTGGCCTGGTAGCTTAGTTGGTTAGAGTGTCATCACAATACACTAAGGTTGCGAGTTTGATCCCCTGTCAGGGCATATATAAGAATTGACCAATGAATGCATAAACAAGTGGAACAACAAATTGATGTTTCTCTCCTCTCTCTCTACCCCCTTCATTGCTCTCTTTCTCTTCTCCTTTCTCACTCTAAAATCAATAAATGAAATTTTTTTTAAAAAGAAGAAAGAAAAAAATGAACAAAAGATAAAAGTTGTACTTAGCTGAGGCTTGCTCATCTTTTAAAGAGCCTTCTTGGAAGACCTATTCATTGATTCTAATTTCAGTATCACATGACCTTTCACTCTTAGCTACAAGGAACTCTGACAATTGCCTTGGCTGGACACATTGCCTCTCTGAATAGAACTGTGATAAGATAGAAGTGGAGAATGGATGTTGGTTATATAAAATATATAAGTATATGAAATTATATATATAAATTTATATATATAAATATATAAAATTATATATAAATATATACAAATATATAAAATTCTGTATATATTTTAATCCCGAGAAGATGTTGTTATTGTTTTACTAACATTTTCCTTTCTGTTACTTTTAATTTCTTTTCTGACTTTAAGCTTCCAGCCAAGGGCATTTTCTTTCTTCCTGAAGAATACCTTTTATTATCCTTTACAAATGCTAACGACAAAAAATCTGTTTATATCTGAAAATGTCTTTGTTTTATCTTTAAGTTTAAAATACATTTTTGCTATGTATAAAGTTCTAGATTGGCTTTCAACACGTGAAAAGTATAGTCCTATTGTCTCTGACTACCTTTTTCTTTTTCTTTTTAAAATATATTTTATTGATTTTTTACAGAGAGGAAGAGAGAGGGATATAGAGTTAGAAACATCAATGAGAATCATTGATCAGCTGCCTCTTGCACATCCTCTACTGGGGATGTGCCCACAACCAAGGTACATGCCCTTGACCGGAATCAAACCTGGGACCTTTTAGTCCGAAGGCCTACACTCTTATCCACTGAGTCAAACCGGTTTCGGCTACCTTTTTCTTTATTGCAGAATTAGGAATTTATCTCATTGCTGATCCTTTGATACAATTTGATTTTCTTTCTCTCCTTTTCCCCCCAGTTGTTTTTAAGCTTTTCTCATTATTATTGGGTTTCAGACTTTGAACTATGATATATACCTACTGTATTTATTCTGATTGTGTTTCCCATAGCTTCTTGAATCCATGTCTTGATGTTTTTCATCTGTTGTGGAAAATTCTGAGCTAATTATCTGTTAAAATATTCTTCTGCCCCTTCTCTCATGCTTCTTTCTTTTGAGTCTCCAATTGCAAGTCAGAATCATCTATACTCTTTTCTGTATTTTCCATCATTTTTGCCTTTTTTTGCTTTGGTCTGGCTTATCTTCCAACTTACTAACTCATTTTTTTTTCTGTTTCTAATGTATGTTAAAACCATCTACTGGTTTTTAATTTCATTATTAAATGTTTTATTTCAGAATTTCAATTTTATCTTATTTTACACATTTTTTGTTCTCTCCTAAAATTGTGATTTTGGTCTTTTTCATTCTTTGATAACATTTAACTATGTTTTTCTTTAAGGTCTTATCAGATGTCTCTCTTATCTGGATCTCTTATGGGTCTTTTCCTATTGTCTATTGTTTTCTTTGGCTTTTGGTTGTGTATTGTCTCCTCATAAACTGGGTGTTTTAGTGTGTGTGTGTGTGTGTGTGTGTGTGTGTGTTTTAAGAAAACCTTTTTATTATGGAAAATTCAAACATATGAAAGAAGATATATACATAAAATAATAACCCCCTAGTATACAGTACCCAACTTCAATAATTACCAACACATGGCCAGTCATTATTTACCTATACTGCTCTCCATGTTTTCTCCTCCTCAAAATCAAATTCAAGACATAGCATGTTATTCAGAAAAATTGTATCTTTTTAGTATATATGTCACTTTTTAATTTTATTTTTTAATATATTTTTATTGATTTCAGAAAGGAAGGGAGAGAGAGATTGAAACATCAATGATGACAGAATGCTGCCTCCTGCATGCCCATACTGGGGATCAAGCCTACAACCAAAGGCATGTGCCCTTGACCGGAATCAAACCTGAGATCCTTCAGTGCGCAAGCCAACGCTTTATCCACTGAACTAAACCAACTAGGGCTATGTAACTGTTTTTACATTTTAAAAAATTAAAGGCAATTTCTTAATATCATTACATGTCCAGTTAGTATTTAAATGTCTCATTTCCTTAAATCTGCTTGGTTATTGTTTGTTTGTTTATTTATTTATTTACAGAGAGAGGAAGGGAGAGTGAGAGAAATAAAAACATCAATCAGCTGCCTCCTGCACACCCTCAACCAGAGATCAAGCCTGCAACCTGGGCATGTGCCCTGATTGGGAATCGAACCAGTGACTTCCTGGTACATGGGTTGATGCTCAATTACTGAGCCTCACCAACCGTGCTGCTTGGTTATTTTTGATTGAGTATTGGACATTATACCATATATGAACATTTATAGAGATTATGTGATTTACATTTCCTTCTAGTAGACTGCTAGGCCAAGTGGATTATCAGTCCTAGAGTTCCTAAATGTAATTAGTATTTGTCTATTTCTGGTTTGCCTTTGCTCTGAGGATGTTGCCCCAGCTCAAAGCTCAGGATATTTCCCATGGTTCCTCTTTTTTGGCAGACCTCAAACTGTAGTTTTCCTTCTAGCCCCATGAGTCTATCAGTATCTCTGTTCAGCTTCTGATCCTATGCCTACCAACCCTTTTTTGAGGTTGGCAGTCACTTTATGGAAGAAAGCTTCTCTTGCAAATACTTGGTTTACTTCTATGGGCTTCTCTCCTATCACAGATCTTGGTGCTGCAATTCTTCCATACCTTGGTAGCTCTCTGGGTTTACATATAAGAGGAAATAGATGAGTAGGTTGGTATTCTTTGTTTCAGTTTGACCTTGGGCCTTTTAGTCAATATGTTTAACACATTGTATATATTTTATATTAAAGATACAAAAATTAGCACAATTATAATATGGATCCTGTACCTTCTCCAAGCAAGAAAAAGATCTTACTTTATGACTTACAATAGAATTAATTCATCTTGTAATAAAAGTGAGGCAAAATTGAATTAATTTTAAAAATTAATTTTTTTAAATATATATTTTTTAATTGTTTTTTTTACAGAGAGGAAGGGAGAGGGATAGAGAGCTAGAAATGTCGATGAGAGAGAATCATCGACCAGCTACCTCTTGCACACCCCCTACCGGGGATGTGCCCACAACTAATGTACATGCCCTTGACTGGAATCGAATCCGGGACCTTTCAGTCTGCAGGCCGATGCTCTACCACTGAGCCAAACCGGTTTCGGCCTTAAAAATTAATTTTAAAGAGAAAGTAGTAGCCTCCTAACAGGAAGTATCTGGGAAAAAAATCTTAGAGAGCTGGTTCTAGGGTTTCCTGACACTGACCCCTCTGTCTTCCATGTTTCACCTGGTTGTGGGCTGAAATTAGGTCCTGTTTTGCATGTCTTCTGCACTGTTAGCAAACACATCCTTGTTCAGGAAGGAATGAACTCATTCTCCTGCCCAATTAGTTCATCACTCTTCTTTCTCCTTTCTCCACTTTGGTAGCATTTACATCAGCTCAAGAAGTTATGGTTGGAAAGTTTTCCATTTCAGATTCCAATATGAAAGTGTGCTGTGGTGTTTTATAAGACTGTCTCGGAATAAGCAAGTTATTGTAACCAAACATTGTGCCCGGCAATTTATCTAACTTATTTCTCACAACTGTATTATTTCTGTTTTATAGGTGATAGATCTGAAATACAGAGAAGTTAAAGAAACTTCTGGTCTTTCTGACTCCAAAACTCAAGCATTTTTTTTAGTACTGTTCCGCCTTCCCTGCGAGGGAAATCAGTTCTATGCTGTCTACCAAGGGGCTTTTGGTTATCCTTATAAATCCTACATGGACTGCCTCCAGATCACCCTCACATGTGTTAACATAAACTTTTATTAAATGAGCTACTCTAATCATTTCCTTTTCTCAGGGGCTACGCCATTGCCAGCAGCAGTGACGACCGCATGAATGAGCCTCCAACCTCTCTTGGGCTTGTACCTCACCAGGTTAGTGATTTGGAAATGAAATCACAATTCTGGACCTGATCTCAGGGGAAAGTATTTAAGGTAACTTTATATGTCATCAGACCCAACCATCTCTTCTTCGTATCCTCTAGCCTCCCTGGAATTTCAGCGAGAGTGCTTTTTGACCACTAGGAAAGGATCCCATTCTGCAGATGGTGACAGAATGAAATCACGAACAAGCAGCATTACCCAGCGTCTTTGATGCATTTAGCATGTTGAATAGCAGTCTCATAATGGAGGAAACAAAGACAGAACGGGCTTTGGAATCAGCCAGACAGAGGTTTAAATAATAGCCCTGTAGTTATTAAGATGGTCTTCCTTGGTCAAGTCACTAAACTTCTGTGAGCCTAAGTTTTCTTATCTATAAAATGGAGACAGTGGTATCTACTTCATTCTAGAGATAAACAGTGATATCTAGAAAGGGCTCAGCAATAGTGAGTGCCTGTCACAGCCCCCCAGTAAATATGCCTGCTATGTTTGTTGCTGTTGTTTGTCATTATTATTAACTCCATTGCCAAATACAAAGCCTTTATAAGCAGGTTTAGAAAATGTGCAGCATCAACAAAAAGTGAGGTGTATTTTCAGGAAAAGAATCTGAAGCATCCTAAAAAAGGTCCACTGAGAGCAAAAAAGAAAAAAGTAGTGGAATGAAAATTTAAAATTCATCTTGTCTTTTTAGTAATTCTCTCATTCTATCTTTGGAGGAATGAAGAGATTTTCTAGTCTTAAGTTTTGGAAATCATTTCTCTAGGTTTCATGTGTGCAGTCAGTTTATAACAGGCAGGTTGTCTTTGTGCATGAAGTGGTGATAGTGTCCGAGAGTCTTTTGAGGACAGACACATAGATCAGTACAGAGAGCAGGGTCCATCTCTCTCTGCATCCCTTCTGCTTGCCTCCTTTCACCTGGGACAGCCCTATCATTTTCCAGTTAAAGATGAGAATCAGGAGAAGGACAATTACTTGCCCGCAGTCATAGAGTGAGATAGTGGACAAGCTACAGTCCAGACCTAAACTTGGCACTCTGACCAGTGCTCTTCCAGAGATTTTGTGAGTGGAAAGAGCCCTGACCTACACATTGGAAGAGTTAGCTTCAAATCACTCCTGCGGCCCTCTTGCATGAAGTCACCCTCCATAGACCTGTGTTAGTTTCCTAACCATCCCTGAGCCTCACTTTTCATCTCAGTAAAAGCAGGTGCCTTACCTAGTGTCCAGGATTGTCTGTAACAAGGCTTTGTAAACCATAGGACACTGTACAATGTTACCTTTCTAGCCCGCCTCACAAAGGTGGCATTTATTTGAAATGCATGTGCTAATCTTTTCTACAGAAACATTTCCAGTAGGAACCAACCAGACATTATAATAACCTTCCATCATAAGGAAGTAGTCTTCCAGAGCCCACCTCTGCTCTTCACACTATCCTATCTCATTCGAATCCCTCCCCCCTTCTCTTTTTCATGTCTCCTTCTCTTTCTTCTGACCTTGAGATGTGCCCTCATCTCCATTACAGATTTCATACAGAAAAGGGCCTTCATTAAATATTCAGTCATGCCCCTGCACTGGTTTCCTTCTTTAAGTCTTTTTTTGTTAAATTACCACAGTTATAGTTTTCTCTGTGCTAAGGCCAGAGGCCAAAACAGTCTCTTTATAGAAGGGGTCCAGTGTCAAAATGCATGTGCCCATGTTTTTAAAGTACTATGGCAACTAATCCCTTTCAGTGTTATTTATTCCCATTGAGCCTTGAAATTGTTTGTCATTCATCAACTCCTCTAGCTCTTTCTCCTGGTTTTCAAATATATGCAGGATTATTTTGGCTATCTCTTCATTTGGCCTTTTCAAAGGCTAAAGAATAATGCAGCCATATTTGGGGAAAGCCCACTGTGTGTGTGTGTGATTACTTGCTTACATTATTTCAAATTTGAGCCTTTATTTTTAGCTACTTTCTATAAAAAGAAAGTGGAGAAAGAACTTAAAAATCATTAAGCAGGGTTGTGTGTTCCCTACTTATAGGCTTTACATTTCTTCTTTTGCGTGTGTTTTTTTAAGTGGAGTCTATTTATGCAACTGTATGTTGGTTAGGAGAACATCCTTTCCACAAAAACACCGGGCTGTGTTGCAATGCCCTGTTGCAGACTCAGCATTTCCCTCATCCTCTTCCTGGCTCTCTGAGACTAATGGTTTCCTGTTGGAGAGAAATTCTGTCAACCGCTTTGTGTGCTTTATACAGAGAATGACCAGTGATGTTTCCTGGGCTCCTTTTCCTCAATTCCCAAAGGAGAGTGTTTATTAGTTGACCCTGTGGAAGGAGCTGTAGTAGGAAAGTGATAGTCCTTGGACAGAGCATCACAGGGCCCCGCACCAGAAACTCATTGTATAATCCGGGGGAAGATGCCTAAGTAGCCTGCACTCATTGTGTCTCTGCTCTCTTCCGCCCCTGACCTGGAAGGCTTAAAAATTACTTTGTTGATCTCTCTGTGGGACCATAGCCAGAATTTAGCCCATCCAAAGATTGATCAAGTGCAAAAAGAGGCTTGATTAGGTCCTGAAATTCAGTGATATTCAACCTGGGGGAGAGAATGGAGGGGAGCTTCTCTTACTCACTTTGAAAACCGTGAAAAAGCCATTTGAAGGTGAGAAAATAGGCTTATGGGTTTGTTCTTTTTTAAAGTCTCTGGCACAGTATACAGGAATGGGATTCTGTAAGCAGCAAGTAAAGCCACTTTCTGTCTACAAAGAGTGATTTTTTAATTTGTCATTATTTTATTGATGTATAAAAGACATAGAGAATCACACAGATCCTTAAGTTTACAGCTTTATTACAAAGCAAACACTCATGCACCCAGCAGACAGATAAAAATAAAAGGTTATCAGGCATTCCCAAAGCCCCTCTCCTGCTTCTTCTAATTATTGTTGCCTCCTTCCTACACAGAGGCAAGCATCTCTTGACTCAACACCATGGGAGACTTTTGTTTAATTTTGCACTTTCTATAAGTGAAACCATAAGGTTTATACTCTTTGGAATCTGAATTCTTTTGTAGAGAAAACTTTTTCATTGTAGATTGTAGCATAGTATTATTCCCTCTGTGTCCCATCAAGTGGGATTTTTTTTTTTTAAAGGACTTTTCCTGGCTCCTGGGGTGGTGGCTGAGTACCTTGACGCCAGACTCTTTTTCTTAGTTCTTGGGTGAGAGGCACAGTTCAGGAACTATAAAATGGATAAGCTATTCCTGATATCTCCAGGAAGGTGATTTGCATGCTGGCCAGAGATTCCGAATGTGACAGAAATTAGCTCCCTGTGAAGCTGGTGATCATTTGGCTGGACATCCACTAAAGAATGAAAAACAATGTGGCAGTAGAGCAGTCATTCAAACACTCTGGTCATTAATATTGCAGTCCTGGTTTTATCCCATTTGTGGACTAGGCAGTGCACGTCTTTTGTCTTTGGGTGAATGCACTCTTGGTTCTCAAGTACTGATGAATAAAGACCCTGAATGTGTATGTTCTTCCTTGGAGTTTGGACTTGCCAAACACACGATTCTCTCAGGCTCTTGAATTCTTGCTTCAGAGAAGTAGAACAAAGCCTAAACTAGGACAGGACCCTGGGAGGGACCTGGCTTGGGAAATCTCTAAGGAGGCAAATGCTGAGATAGAGCTTGGACTCTCTAGCCAGGCCTTGGACTAGTTATTTGACGTCTCTGCAGAGGCTATGCCCCACAAATCCTCAGGCTTTTATCTTTTGCTGGGTCTCTTTACCGTGCTCTGAAATGCTTATCTCAGTGTGTGTTTAGGGATATGGACCGACTGCCTAATGATAAAGAAGGTTAAACAGATAAGTGATAAGAGCGTATTTTCTGAGTTATACCCAAGAAAAGGAATCTCCTTCCTTTTCCGGTTCTATATCCCTCAGATTGATGACTGGAAATGGCAAGAAAAGTGGACAGTCCAAAGATCCGCTATTTTACAATATCAGCTGCTGTGGTTTATAACCTACTCATCCTCCCTCCCTCCATTCAATTCCTTCTACAAATGATCCCCAAACACTGACTCTGTGCCAAGCACCACTCAGTCAGAGAGATTAAGTAATTGGCACTGGATCACCATTTACTACTTTTGGAGTCATCTGAGGTGTTAGATGTACCCATTTGGATGTGGTGGAATCTGTTCCAGGGGGGTGGCATCTGAATAAGGATCTGGTTACAAGACCAACAATGTATGGGCTTCATGTGTGAGACCCTAGAAGAAGAGAGGATTCCCTTTCCTTGGTACACAAAGGAGAGGATAAAATACAGATAGTGTCAGAGTTCAAAAGCATCTCAGGTAGCATCTTGTCCCAAAAGAACTTGGGTATAACTTTATCAGTTGAAGGATGTTACTTGTGCCCCAGGATATGATTGCTCTCCTGATGAAGCTGTTTTGTTTGAGAGGTCCCACATGCAAGCCAGTCAGAAGGCTATTATAGTCATCCAGATCTGATTAGAATCCCAGCTTTGCCTCTTAATTTTATTTTCACCCATTTGCTCATTAGTTCATTTTACAACAGGATTTGAAGCAGCTCTTGGCACTTGTTTTTGTGTGACTTTCTAAACTCATATCTTACATCAGTAAAATAGGGGTAGTCCTATGCAAATGGCCTGAATGGCAGAACGACCAGTTGCTATGAGGTGCACTGACCACCAGGGGGCAGACGCTCAATGCAGGAGCTGCCCCCTGGTGATCAGTGCACTCCCACAGGGGGAGCGCCACTCAGCCACAAGCTGTGTTGATGGCCGGCGAGCGCAGTGGTGGTGGTAGGAGCCTATCCAGCCCACTCCCTGCCCATGAGTGCACAAATGTTGTGCACTGAGCCTCTGGTAATATAATAAACTCCTAGGATTCATGTACAGAATAAATTATATGACATTTATTAAGCACTAACACAGTTCTGAGCACCTAAGAGACACTTGTAGATGTTGGTTTTTCTTTCTCTTTCACTTTTAATTAAAATG